CTAGCCTCCGTTTGCGAGTGTCGATGATCAGATTGTGGTGTTGTAGAAGGTCCATACCAATGATTGGCATAGAAACATCTGCAACGACGAAAATCCAGTGGATGGGTTTGCGTAAACCCACGTTAAGGTAAACGTACCTTTTGCCATACGTAGCGATCGGTTTTCCGTTTGCCGCCTGTAAGTTTAGGGTCGATTCGTGAAGTCGGTCGTTAGGATTTGCTGGGAGAACGCTAACTTCTGCGCCAGTGTCGACGAGGTAGCGAACTCTCGTTGTCACATCTGTGACGAATAACAGACGGCTTTGTTCGCCGGCTACGGTTGCCGTTAACGCGTGCCGGCTTGGAAGTTTCCCGAATCAGTCGGTTTCGTGTTGGGAAAATTGCAGGGTTTTCTGCAATTTCTGGAAAACTTTCCATACTGGTTATGATACCAGCACCAGTCGGGGTTATCTGTCTCTCGTGGTCTAGAGACAGATCGCTTACGAGAAATGCTTCTACGTGGTGTGCGCGATCTCTTACGGTCGGTACGAAGACTAAGATAACGCGTGAGTGTGTGACATAAGTCGGTTATGTCATTCTGAGTCGTGTGAGGCTTTTCTTTGACTGAAAATACCTCGGTAGTAGAAGGTTTCGTAATTTCTAGAATGCGGTCGGCAGATACAGCTAGTTCGTCTAAGGCGTTGTTCTGGAACGAGACCAGAACTGCTTGCACCTGTTGGGGAAGTTTTGACAAGAAGAGTTGTTTGAATAGACCTTCGTCGAAAGTTCTTGGGCCTATAACCTCTCTCATCCGTTGCAACATGTCCGTCGCAGAACCGTGTTGCAGGTCGATATTGTTGAAGAGTTGATCTAACCTTTGTCGATCGGTTAGGTCTCCTCGTTTAAGAATCGAGCGTTTTAAGATTTCGTAAGGATCGGAAACATCACTAGTAAACATACTAGGTGTTACGTACCTGTTGAATTCGCGCGGTAGTGCCTTGACTACTGCGAGGAATTGTGCACGTGTGTCGATCACGCCGTGCTCGGAAAGTCGGCTTCTGCGTAGCAAAACCAGGCTTCGATGTTGTCGGGCCAGAAAGGCATCAGTTGAAACGAAGGTGGGGACAAGGTCTTAAGCTTGAGTACTTTAGGTGTCTGTTCAGTCATGATGAAATATGAAGTACGATAATGAACGAGGGGAAAATATATATATATATCCAAGAAAAACACGAAAAAAAATCACAATGTTTAAAAAAAATAAAAAATAAGGCAATGATATATAAAAATCCCAAAAAGGAACAGACTCACAGTTGCAATAAGGTGTACCAGATCACGACGGTCTCACCAATGATGATGTCACAGGTATTCAGTGTTTCACAACGCTTCTACCAGTAACACCTTCTAATATGTTTCGTTCCCACCAAGAGAAATCAAAAGACAGAGTCGAGGAGATCGGAAGAGTATATTTGGCGATGACCAATATACCGGGATTCTCTGATCTAATCTGGCTAGCGATTGTGGTTGATGTTGAGCACGGCGTTACTACACGTGATCTGGTGCGGATGCCTGACCGAGCGCCTTCAGCTAGATGAGTCCACTAAAACATATGGTCAGCATCCAATGTCGAAAACTTACAGAGCTATTTATTTTAGGGATTTATTTACCGCTACAGTGTGAATAAAATTTATTTAAAAAAATTAGGTAATAGGGGGTATAAATTATCTCAGAATAAGTAAGGAATAAAATAAATAAAAATTCTTGCCGACATATTTATGGGACATCTGGAACAAAAGAAATTGAAGCACGCAATCGACAGTACCACACTCTACTGCAGATATATGGATGACACGTTCCTTGTCTGCAAAAATCACCAACACTCCATGTACCTACTTAGTCTGTTCAATAAAGTCCACAAAGATATAGAATTTACCATGGAACATGAAGTTGATGATAAATTCCATTTCCTAGATATTGGAATTAGGCGAACACCAGATGGCACACTACAAAGACACATTCACCGCAAAAATACTTGGAGCGGAGTTTATCTCAACTTTAATAGCTTCTGTCCATTGAGTTATAAAAAGGGTATTGTGCGAAACCTTTTTGACCGCGCACGAAAAATCTGCTCAAAAGAATGCCTCGAAGAAGAAATTACTACAATCACCAAATGCTTACGTGAAAATGCATATCCGGATAAATTCATCCACAAATATGCTAATACAAACCCTCCGATTAAGCATGATACAGTTGAAAAGAAAACCTGCTTCCTATCCTTACGCTTTAAAGGAGATGAAGTCGCCGGAATTATCAATCACAGAATTAATTCCGCCTTAAAAGTGACCTACCCGGCAGCCAAACTAACTACGTTATGGAAAACATACTGCTCACTGAAACAAACGAAAATCGACAAGTCCTCTCCCCTCAGTTGCTCCAACTGCATTTACCAATTCACATGTACGTGCCGTAGCACATACATTGGAAGAACTGAGAGAAGAGTACAGGTTCGCATTTCTGAGCATATTCCGAAGAATTTGACGCTGCGAGGGACTAAAGCTTTTAACAGTGCAATAGCTCGGCATCTACTTGACACCGGGCATACCGTCGATATTATGCGCGCGTTTAAAATCATCAATAGACAAAAAACTACTACCACTCTCCGCTTCGCTGAATCCATTGCAATTAAGAAACTGAAACCGGACTTATGCATCCAAAAAGAGACTTTAATAAACTTATCACTACCCCGGTAATCTTTTTGTTTCTGTTTGTTTTGTATTTTTGGTTATTTTATTCCTTTACTTATTCTGAGATAATTTATACCCCCTATTACCTAATTTTTTTAAATAAATTTTATTCACACATTTCCATCACCTGATCCTTTTAAATCATCTTAACTTTCCAAACCCTATTTAATTATTATTACGTAATCTACCTTATCATTATTTAATTCCATTAATCTCTACAATTATCACACAATTTGTGAACTTCACTAAATTATTACACCACCCACCCTGGATTAACCCCCCTCTTTTGACCTCTGACCTGTTTCTAGCATATATATATATATATATAGTTATTATTGTAATCAAGTTATTTACACTCATTTATGTCAATTGTTTCACACTATCTCCATGTAAAATTCTATCACAATTTTGGTTTGTAAGCAGCTGACGAGAAACCTCGAAATAATATGAATTCATACTATTCTGCATCAATGTTTGTTCTTGCTCTATTTATACAAATGGAATGACATACCAGCAGAGTGAAATCCTCATGTATTGGTGAGTTATCAAGAGATACGATTAAAAAAATAGTTCACGTGGTCAAAGTTTCTTAAAATCCTAAATCTGTCATTAGAAATGATACATAAAAGCAGATTTCGAAGTTATTCTGAAGTCAAATAAATTCATTTTTTAGAGACAAAATACGATTGAACGCATTCGGAAGACTTGGTAAGATATTATTGATATATAATAAGAGCGGTAGTCTAAGTGTGATAATATGATTTCGCATTCATAAGCTAATGAGATTGAGGCGAAAAATTACCGAAAAAATAGGACACCTAAATGTTAAATATTTAGGCAGCAATTGATATAGGATTCAGTACTTTCATTACAGAAGTAAGGAACTCGCAAGCAACTTAAAAAATAAACTAAATATCTCAACATTCGGTACTCAATGCAATAAGCTTTGATTTCTTTTGGTACATGATGTGACGAATAATTAAAGCATCACTATAACTGTTACACCATCAGTTTCAAATTTACTATAAATATTTGCAAATGAGAATAGAGTTCAAAAACTTGCATATCCAATAGTTTGACTGTAGTATCGTACATTAGTATACGACATCACTTTGGAAACATGTCCATTATTAAATGGTTTCAAACGCAAATTACTCATCATATCATAATTGGTTAGTTGGCAAAACACTTCAGGTGTCTAAAATCTTATTACAAACCGTGTAACTTGAAGATATTCTATGTGTTGATAAATAAGTTCATCAACGCTTATAAATTCCTCGTTAAATGAGAAGAAAACTGAGAATTGGAAGAGCATAGGTATTTTATTGCTTTCGATAATGCAGAAAAGAAAAAAAAACAAATGAATGGAGAAAAAATTTTAGTATTATAAGTAGTGTTTATATGTCGTTAAAACCTACAAAATGCATTCAAAATACACCATAATCCTAACAATCTTTCTACTTGTTTCCCGTCAATGTTAGTAAAATGAGCATAATAACATTCTTGTACAACAATAATGAAATGAAACTAATGTTTAAGAATCCATTTTAACAGAGGACAATTTTCGAAAAAGGATGAAGTACCTAAAGGCGCATTTCTGTTCGGATGAAAAATGTTACAGTGAAAATAAGCATATAGAGTGAGTATCAACAATCTTTTCAGCAGTAAAATATAAAAGAAATCACATGGTTATGCTATAACTTATATACGCATAATTTCATCGAAAGTAAATTTTAAGAAGAGAATACAGGATGTAAAACTTTGTAATAGCATAAACCCAACATAAAAGAGTATACATATATATATAAGTTAAAGAAGACCCCGCTACTGAAACCTAATTCACTATTAACAAAATATATTATGAAGTCGACAGTTATCAAGGAAATAAAGGGATTTATTTATTGAACCAACATAATACTATTTAAACGAAATAAAAATAGAATGAAGAGCAACTATTAGTATTTCTCATGGAGTGAATAAGAGGAGCATTTCATTCATAGAGGCAAAAAACCATAGACTGAGATATAAAGAATAAAAGAGAAGTCACAACAGCGAAAAATATGGGCGAAAGAGAACAAGGAGAGAGAACTGAATTTACATAAAAGTAATGAGAACAAAAATGGAAAGTATTAAAAGGCAACAACAGTAATAAGGAATCTTGGAAAAAAACGAAAGTGTAAATATGTTGATTCCCAATAATATATCATGTTCAGAAAAACAGCACATATGAAAAATAAACAAGATGTAAAGGATATAAAGTAACTATATTTTGGGCTAAATAAAAGAATTGAACTGCTAATTGGATAAACTATATAAACGATAATAATAACAGTAGGAATGAACAGTTAGCTGTTACATACTCATGATGACACAAACAATCATAATTTCGAGCCGCATAGTCCTGGCTACGAATATGGATATTAATTTCTTTGAAAGTTGTATTCACGTAAAGTGTATAAATAAATATATGCTAAAAAATCACTTCAAAGGAGAACGTATGTAAGAAAACGAGAAACCCAGATCACTGGTCAATTCAGAACAATTTGATCACAGTTTTCAAAGTGTTATGCTCATCATCCACACATTCCTCATCATCAACATTATCCATTTCAAAAATCTTAATTTGATCATTCAGTACGGTTGAATCCGATTTAATCTGACTGGTGTCTTTTGTATCATGTTGTTCATTGTTATCGTAATAAATATTTGAACTGAAATTTGAGTTATTTTCTTCAATTGACTGTATGTCTTGATCTTGAAGTAATAGGTGACTGCTGGATTTACTAGTTCCAAACATTCCATTAATAATCACAGTTTCAGCTGGGCTGGAATCAAAAAACATATTCGAATTACCAACTGGACTACATGCACATTCTGTAGCTGGGATTTTTAGTACTTCATGTGATTCAAGTTGACTAGATTTTAATTGCACTGACTGAATACATGGCAGTGGATCAATAGTGAAGGATAATGACTGTCTAGGATTCGACAACCGTGAACTTGTTAAACCAAACGAAGAACATTCATCAATAATTTCACTTTCCAATTGACTCTATATAAAATAATTATTACGCAAAACATAAATACTAAAGCGGGTTACACCGAAAATATAACACCACTAATCATAATCGTTTTCTGCACGTAAGAAATAACATGTATTTTAATTATGAAAATAAAAAGATAGTTGTTTATTATTTTTATGACTGTAATCATGAACGGTGAACAACAGAAATTTCTTAAGTATCCTGTAAAAACTAAATATTATGAGGTAACGGCAAAACATCTAGTAGATGTTTTGAAATGCTAGTTTGGAAGTTCAAGCACTTGAGTGCATTGTATGCTTAAACCGTGCTAAACCTAGTTAGTTTTAGGAAGTTGAATAGTAGTAGTATTGTGCATGCCACTTACGTCTGTCTAAAAAAGTAGTACGTAACACAAATCGAAAGTGGAATGCCCGGCAGCAAAAGGTTGAGAAGATGGAATTGAAGAGATCGGGAAATGAAGTAACAACAAAGTCCGAAACAAATGATGGACATTTTGCGAATGAAGTACTGAACATATGGTAATCATATTTTACCAATTAGCTCTGTAGCTTTGTATCCAAATACATTTGGTTGTTCCCACTTGTGTTGTCATTCATTATAGTAGTAGGAGTAGTAGACATCAAACAACAAAAAAAATAACTTAAAATCCAGGTATATTGTTCTGTAGCTGGTAATTAGTAAGAGTAGATTATGTATATTACTTAGGCAGCAATCATCACCAAATATCGGAAACTCTATTCTCGAATAGAATTAAGATAGTTTACAATAACACGGATAAACTTCGAAAGTGGAAACTAATGAGAACAGGTACAAAATAACTGACCGGATCCAGAGTAGGAAAGAACGGATTAAGATAGTCTATTCTTAGTTTTTTGACACTTCTACTTAATTAACTTTATTTCAAAATCCCAGGAATCACCCAATATCATACATTTGAATCATGTAAGTATAAGTCTACAAGATTAACACTGAAAATATATGGTATTATAAACACAGATTTAAACGGAATCGCGTAATTATGGTACTGATTTCTCGACAAACTGAGCAATTTAAAACGTTAGTTGAAACAGAAAACCTCTGATAAATGTTTGACCAACTTACTAATCAATTATGTGACGCAATGAACATCAGAATGTACAACAGAAGGAAGTAGGAGCAACAGAAATCTTTATGAGAAAAGTACCAGAAAATCGAATAATTCTACCTTGAGTTAGTTTATTTAGTAAATGAGTAACCGTATGTAACTTGTCAATTATAACTAATACAGGAATATTCATCAATCAGGAACCAGTAAAAAAAATAGTACCAACAAATCATTCATTGTGCACTAGTAAACTTAAATGATATGTTGGATGATGAGAGTTCGCATCTAAGCCAGATGCTGATGTGGTTTCATGTTAAAAAGCAATATTTTCCCACTAAATAATACAAATTACCAAAGGTATTTAATTAACTGACGTTATAATGCATAAATAGCGGTATTCGCATCACTTAGTTAAGTAATCATGGTAAATCCAATGATCGACAAAATTGGATATGAAATACGAACAAAATTATTAAATTGTTTAGCAATATACGTAAACCGTGAAAATAACTCACTTGAGTATCTCCACTACCAGCCGTAGTTGCTGATATTGTTAATAATTCTGGTATAGCTAAAGGTAAACGCAATGGACGAGTAGCAGTTGGATTGCTGATGTCATTTATAATGTCTTGTTCCTGTGTAGTTATATTAAGCAAATTATCAACTAATTCAGAATGATGTACACTGCTTGACATGGATAGGATATCTTCAGTCTCGTCTAAATCATCTGTTGTAGCTGCATCTTCAGTGCCATATAAACTAGGTGTTGGTGTACCACCTGAAAAATCTTTATCCTCATGATTATTCGTTGGAATCTCAAGACCAGACCAAAAGCATTTTGAATTTCGATAGCTATAAGCATTTAGTAAGTTATTATCATTAATAACAGTGATCTGATTGTCGTAATTATTATTACTTTTCTTAGCCATTTCGTTCATAGGAATAAAATATTGTTGTGAATGTGCAAAATCATAGATTCCTTCATGTGATGAGTGATTTTTTGACCAGTTTGGCTGAAAATGCAACGACTGATTCATAACATTATTAATACAATCATTATTACTGATATTAGTAAAATGAGGGTTAGTAAAACTAACATTTACATTAGAATACCATCTATAATGAGCAGTTGAATCAGGATGATGTATCAGTCCACTAGTAGAGATCGGTGACTTGAGAAATTGTTGAGAGTGTTTTGGTTGTTTAAAATAAGGCAAAATATCATTTGATGCATTATTCATGGTATCTAACGACATACTATTCATATTGGAACCATCATTTCTACGTAAACAACCGTACTGTCCATCAGATTTATGAGATGAAGAATCCAAACAACCAGTTAAATCACTCACGACAATGTTTTCGTGAGCATGAATTTTTTAATTAACTTCATTTGTGCTTTTGGTCTAGTGATTTGATGGATCAGTTTGTGAATCAATGGATGATTCACATCGAGTACAGTGTTTTCACGATCTCTGGTAAAACAAAATCAAAAGAGATGAATTATTGTTTGTTCCAAAAACAGACAGCTTATGAAGTGTAAAACAGTTAGTTAATCTGTGGATACAATCAGTGTAGAAAAGAGATATTCATAACTGGTGGAAACAAACATAAACGATAAGTATGTGACTATTGTTACTAAATTTAGACTAACTATTAGACTTTATCCGAAAGTAATGTAACAACTAATGAGTACTTTTATTTGGCGAAATACCATTCACGTTATTGAAGTATAACTCAATTATGAATTAGAGTTGCATCATTTTACATCCATCTAGTTATGAGTTTAAGTCCGGTCACTTGTGGATTGCGCTACGTTGTCGCCTAAGCACGAATTAATGATAACCAAACCAATGGTTTTATCACAAGGGATGGTATTATTTGATTAGCATGGGTATTTAAATTAGTACTGGAGTGCGATTCGACATTTAACACATTTTTGGCAACATTTATCAGTATTTACAATTTGCCATTCCACTAAAACATGAAAAAGAACAAAAATATTGGGATATACAAGCTAAGTAATACACTACAATATATTACAGTTCGGAGCAAAAAAAATCATCCAGAAATGATATGATTCTTTGTGTATCCACTTACTGTGACACATTAAGGAAAGGTAAGGTGAGTAGCTAATAGACCTATAGAAAAAAACCCAGATGGGATCAAAAATTAAGGTAGCCGTTTTTAAAAAGCATGTTAAATGAAATACAGCAAAAGAATTGTGTACAATAAATCTGATTATACCAACAATCACTTCTAATACGGTTGGACAAAAAAGTAAGTTCATTATATATTTATCATTCCACTTACTGTTTAGGAAAAATAATATTATTCAAGATATGAGCGAAAATTCTTAATTATTTTGTTTAATAAAGAGTGTACTAGACAACCATGAAGAAATTTACACGAACATATTTTTTAAATATAGATATTCAAAACAGAAAATATATATATTTTTAGTTTAGTCCAACTAATGGACTTCCCTAACCAGTTAACAGGGTTTTTTGTTTCCACATAAGTATACATACCTCCCCCCACCTTATTTGTACGTACAGATAATAGTTCAGTTTCTTTTGACATTAGAACTGCATCTTGTAGGTAGATGTTGTACAAATATGCTGAAGAAACCGTGAAAAAATAGGTCTACATTTGTTAGTGAATCAATTCATATATGTGTATTTTGTCAAAGTAAACTATGGCCTTTGACAATATGTATTTAAAGCTGAAATCGCAAGTCAAGTAATTCTTATAAACCAACTAAAACTATTTAGAACACTAAACATTCCTTCAAAGTAGTAACTAAATTTCTGTGGTTCAATCAATGATGGAATTTTATTCTGCGATAGCTTTTATAAAATCCAATCACCCGATTCTTAATCATAATTGCTGGTGGACAATTTACTGTAAATAACAATCAATAAAACTAGATGTCTGGATAACTTGGAGAAACGAATTCATTAGGAAGGCAAACTACAACTACCAAAAGCAACAACTATACTGTTGTTTTTGCCTCACTTAACAGCTATGATTCAGTGTATGAAAATAAGCACAAAATGTTGAGATATGAAAAACTCAATATCAAACAGATAATAAAATACATGAATGTAACATTTCTATATAAACTTAACTATATACTGTAATAAGTACAGGAAACATAGAAAATACAAACTGTTGAGTTAGTAAAAACAATTGTATTAAGAAAACATAATAATGAAGATAACTTCAGATTTCTCCTAGGCGTAAGCTTTGCAAATATGGTTGTCAAGTATATATGTTAATATTATTGAATAACAATTATTGTGTTATGCAGGTAAAATTTAATAAACGCATAACTGAATGGCAGAAAAACGACCTTTTTTTCTAACATTAGTTGTATCAACATTTTCCAGACATTTCTTCTGACTAATATTTTGAAACATTAACCTTTCAGATGATAATAATTATCAAAATAAATATTCTCAGTATACTGGGATGATGAAAATACTGGTTTATTACAGTGAAGAAAATGTGAAGGGGTTGCACATGATATATATATATATATATATATATATATATATATATATATATATATATATACTGCTTTGTAAAGTAGATATGTAACTTCACATTTAAAGTGGGCTAAAATGTAAGTCTTAATTCATTTTACATGGCACATATAAAACATTCCATGAAGGTATTTAATAAAGCAAGTAACGCAATCAGAAAGGTTGCAATTAATGAACCGTCGACTGAAAAGGAAACTGATGGGCTGAGAAAAATTCTGAAAAATCCGTAAAGCATTTATACATGAAACCTGCAATTTATTTACTCTAAAGACATTTACGGTGTAAATGCTCAGTTGCCTTTCATACCTTTTGACTTGTTTATTATTTAAAAATTACAGATCAGCATGACATTAGAAACGGACTAAGCAGTGATGGAACTGATCTGTCTACCAAATATTGATAGATAAATAAATTTGATTTATCCACATTTCAATAGTACCCCGGTCACCATAGAAATCAGACTTCATATAAAGCAAAGTGAACAAGAAAAGACAATAAATGAAAGACTAGTCAAGCACAAAGTCGCTGATAAAATTAAGGTTTTATCTATAATGTATAGAAAATTGTTTGTCTGTCAGTACTATACAGAATAACTCGTATGCAAAGTAAAATTTTGCGTTAACTTTGAAAAATGTTTGCTTTGTAAATGTCCCGCTGAATTTAACCATTATTTGTCACAGAACTTATTTGATACGTTCGGCGTATACTATTATACGAGTTTTGAGTTATGATTGAATAAAGTACAATAGAAAATTTACGTTTTCTATGTTTGTCTCCTGATCGGACACTGACTTAGAATGAGCTAGGCGATTGAAGTGCGTTAAGGTCTTGGCTATGGTCATTGGTCGATGTTTCATTCGATAGATAATAGGTCACCGGTCCTACTAGGAACTATAAATGAGCTAATCAATAATCACAGTAGAAAGGCAAAGAGAACAAATAACTCCTCCCAGCCAGATCATACGAGCCCCAATACAATTCAAGAATACAAGTTCATCTCTGCAAAGAGTATCATTATTTGAGATTAATGAATTTTGCCATGCTTCCTAATCTTCAACAACTAAAAGGAGTGTAAGCTGAAAACGGCAACCACTGAGAATTTTTTTGGATTTAAACCATGGAAAATATTGAATATCATTAGATCTTATACAGAAAATCCATCACTATGAATCTACATCCGCAAACAACACGTAAACTTAAAAGTGAACACGTGTAACCTAAAGCAAAAATATGAATACCACGTACCTTGAATGCATTAGCAGTGTGATAATACATGGATGATAAACTCGTGCCATATGCTGAATAACGTTCTGAAATGCAAAAATAGACTTGTCAATATTAGACATGGTAGCCGAATTCCTTGTAGACAAATGGTCACAGCAATAACACCATTGATTTTCTTCATTTCCAAGTCTTAACAAAGAACGAATTTTATCATGTAATTCCTGGTTTTCATCTTTATCGCATGTATTGGTACTAATATCGTCCACATTAGTAACATTGTCACCTGAAGTCAATATTGTCCAACTGGATAACAGACGTTTAGCCGCTGAATACTTATGATGATGAGACTGCATTGCTCCTTTGTGCTGCATTAATGGATCAGACTCTAAGGAGTTTAGTTCATCAAACGATTGATCAGACCATGTTTCAGCTAGATATTTATGAAAATCACTCTCCAAATAGGTTTTTGTTAATGAGATACAAGAACACTGACTTGATGTGTTATGATTGCGAGTACTTTTCTCAACAGATGGGACGTTTTGTCTAGAACAAGATCTAAGGATCCCATTTATATCAACATGAAAAAGAAAACAAATTCGGGTCAAAGATAAATCATGATGGCAAACAAATATATCATGAAAAAATTTATATATTATTTGAAAAAAGTGAGTATCCAGTAATCATATCAGTTACATAACAAAGACCGTATGCTAATGATTAGTGATTAAATGGAAAGAATCCCATGAACATCAACAATTTATTTTTCATTCATTGTAAATTTGATTGTTGGGCAAGTGTTTGTTACCAAAATATGAAAATAACTTAAAACCAATATTGATTTTAACACGGACGGATGTCAGATGTATTCTGGATCATTAATGAACATATGAAACCTCTAGAATTTTCACCCCGCTTTTAAAATCCATATTCATCAGTAAGTAAGCAGTAAACATGAGAACTCATCATTTTGTCAAGTTTATTTTAATTTAGGAAAGAGAGAGTAACCATGTGATTCTATTTCAAGTCTTGGACAAAAAATATCCTTAAACGTTCAGACAATCGAATTCCAATACTGTGAAGTGAGGATTAAAAAAAAAGAGAAAGAAGTTAAGGCATAAAAGGGAAAACAATTTCAACCACTTGGAGATTATTGAAATCATATCAGTTTGAAAAAATGTAATCTACACAATAAATTAAAACATGATCTACTGGCACGCAAAATCTTTGTAAATATTAATTTAATTTTTATGTTGAAGGTTATTTCAAAAGATATTCGTTATTCATTATCACTGAATAACCTTCAGCTTATTTTCTTGATTAAATGACCTTAATTCATTTATATATGATGTTTTGAAAAATTAATGTTTGATCATTACTTTTCTATACCAAATGTTTAGAGTGAAGTTTGAGTTAATATTAAAACTTTACTCTCTCTCTCTCTCTCTCTACAAATAATGAATATGTTTAGATCAAATAATAAAACTGGTTTAGCCTGTCACTTATTTCCTGCCTCTAATAAAAACTAGTTCTACGTATTGATCTCACAACAATGCTACTTATCAATCAGTTTGTAATTTTAATGGACCAATATTTTAATAAATATGCAAATGCTCGATTACAGGTAGTAGAAAGGCTGTAAACGGTTGTAGTGAGTCAATCTTCTTCAATATTATTCTGGGCTATGCTTGTCCAACTAGATCACAAGATATATCATCAGTTAATTAAGACCGATCAATAAATGAGATTACAACTTGTTTTAAAAAGAAAATTTGGTTGAGCTCATGAATGACTTGATTACTAGTCCAAATTGTAGAAATTTGAAATACTAAAGACTGTTCATCATAGAAATGACGCTTACTTCTAAAATGACACCGATTTCGTTAGCAGTTAATAACATGACCTATAAGTGCGACATTTGTTGAGAATACATTAAATTGAGAACTGATAAGAATCAGAAACAAAATATAATATATTGAAACGAACAATTTGCTCAGAAATCAGATATAGTAAATCTCATTGTTTTACATCATTATCATAAGGCGATATCCCATAAAAAGTACTCATTCCGCACTAGTAATCCAGTTTCACCATCTCACCTATGATAACTATTATAAATATATTACTTACTGCTTCCTATACTGGAATGTTGAAAATATGTTAAATGAGTGTGATACAACTTCAGGTATTTTGCACATCAATAATGGAGTGGGAATGTAAGCAATATGAAAATAAATACGGTAACCTTACTTCAGAGGAGATGGAAGAGTTCGAACTGTTCTTGGTGCAAAAACTGATAGAGGAAAATTTGGTAAATCAATGTGAATAAGAGACATCGGATCAATAATTGAAGGCTTCATCAGATTGGGTTCATATCCTCCTGAATGCACAGTGCTGTGTACGATAGGCGAAACATAAACACTATTTGGATCACAAGATGTTTCGGTAACTGAATTATGAGAATCAACTGGGAAATTTGAACTTGAAACCACGTTATTACAATTACTTATATTATTGTCACTATGGTCCTGCTTGCTCGAAACAGCTATGACTGTACAACGTTGTGACAATTTCTCCGTTTAGAGGCGCAACTATCACTTCCTAATGAAAGAGATTCATCTTCATTATCTAATTCAATGAGATCACAAGATTCTTCTTCCAAATGGTTAACAGATTCTACAGTAACTGACTGAACCTCGTTACCATGTACTGAATGCGCTGAAGAACCACAAATTTGTTTGCTTAAATTCGAAAGTATCAATTCACGGAATCGGTGACCAAGACTAGCATCACGAGTCTAGACACAATAGCAGAGGAAAAATAAAGACAAAAAACTAAGGACTGTGGTACACATATTTTAATTGATCAGTTTCTAACCTTTTCATTCATATTAAGATCATAGCGACAGTAGAAATACAAACCCTTATAGATAATAATAAGTGAATTGGTAAACAACATCATATGGTTTTATTTAGACGTTTTAGATAAAACACAATACTAATCTCGATATAACAATGAGAAGACGGAATTGATCTGAAAACTGTGATATATTTGCGCTATGAATTTCGAAAGATCTGGACATATATATTTGAAAATTACTAAAAAGTCGATTAAATGAAAGGTCAAGTAAACAAAATGAGGAGGAGTCCCATACTGGGACGAAACGGCCGTCCAGTGCTTTTAGGTTTTCAATGGTACTCTAGCCTAGATCGACTCATGAATTCAACTGTTAAAAGTGATAATAATAAATAAAGGAGAGAGAAAATTAACATAGTATGGAAAGATTAGGGAAGGGCAACCGGTCATTACTTTCTTCTTCATAGATCATAACGATATAATTCTATATAATATTGAGTTTATGTAATAAACTCAGCAATATCAAAATCCCTAACCACATGACCAACATTTCATCCACATATCTCCTATACAGAGTTGTCTCGCTAATGAGTACACTCATTTTCAACATATGACGAAAATACATCGGCTGAGAGAGATCTCAAACGGCTACCGGATCAAATCATACAAACCATTTAAAAAGTAAACAGCAATAAGCGTTCTGCTTGTACATAAGTTTAAACAGAATTAAAGGTAATAGTGTATACAGATGAAAGACTATGAAGACTTTTATGTTAAATACATGCATCTTGACATTATTTGTATAAGGAAGAGTGAAAAAAAATTGTTACCTGTAATGGGATGGTAATATTCTTTTCTGTAATACAGCAGAAAATCTGTTCACCGAATGCATTTCTTAGCAAATAACTGCATAGACCTAAGGGAACAAATAAGAAAAAACCGCAGAAGTCCACAATCAGTTTATACGTTCTGATACACAGAACAGTACTATTTTGTTTTTAATTTGTTTGATGATGATTACAATACATAACTCGTGTTTTGTTGAGAAGTCTGTAAATAAATTTCAAAATTGTTTAAAAACAAAAAGTCATTATCGAATGTCTTAGATATTAAATAGTATTCCAAAAGGCTACTGAGTCTCCACAAGTATTCACGGAATGCGGAGCATAACTTGACATATTTCATAATTTATTTGTTTATTTACCAGATCAAACAATATAACTCTGTCAGATATCTATTGGCTTGTAGTCAATTTCATGTCGATTAAGTACATTATCGATGTTCAAAAGAAGATATTTCGTACGCGAAATCCCAGTTACTCTAACTATTCGGAGAGCGACATTTGAAAATCACTAGGAAATTAATACCTACCAACTATTCAAAAACACGAGCCAGGAAATAGAAAAAACAAAACGTTTTGTTGACATTTTTACCTAGATCGATGGAAAAATAGTAAGAGAATCAGTTTTGAGAAGAGCAAAGGTAGGAACCATTTTTCAGATTAAAAAGTTCTACAAAATTAAAAGACTAATATTTGAACGAAGAATATTCTTTTCGATAAATATATAGTGTTAAGGATGTTTTCCAATTTGTTGATAAAATCAAAAACGCAAATACGTTGGGACTGAAGATGATGTCATTGGATGTAACATCGTTATTCACAAACGTCCCACTCATAGAGACTGTAGAATATATAGGTGAACAGCTGATAGAAAATGAAATTGAAACTACTGTCCCTATTAGCGTCGTGAAAGAGTTATTACTCAAATGCACCATGAATGTAAATTTCAAGTTCAACGGGGAAATATATAGACAAACTGATGGTGTTGCAATGGGTTCACCACTGGGCCCTATACTAGCTGATATTTTTCTAGCCAAACTAGAAAATGGTCCACTAAAAAAGATTATTGACAACTTCACATTTTACTGTAGATACGTGGATGACACGTTCATCCTCTGTAAAGATAATACATCGCCCCAAGAGGTTCTTAGACGATTTAATGAAGTGCATCCAGCCATTCAGTTTACATCTGAAGAAGAGAGTGATGGCCGAATAGCCTTTTTGGACGTTCTCTTGACTAAGAGAGCGGATGGATCGTTAAAAAGGAATATAAACAGAAAAAGTACTTGGACTGGGCAGTATACGAATTTCCTGAGCTTTGTACCTCTACAGTACAAACGAAATTTGATCAAAAACCTTAGCTACCGTATTCGCACTATATGTTCTGCTGATATAGTCGAACAAGAGCTTACCACCTTGCATAATACTCTCAGGGAGAACGGCTACCCTAGAAAGTTTATAATTAAATATATGGTCACGAAGGCGAAAGTAGGCGAAATAAAAACAGTGAAGAAGAAATCCTTGTTCATGCGTCTACAATTCAGAGGGGATGCGGCTAGCGAAATACTAACTCAGAGACTACGTAGGACAATACAAAAGTCTTTTAACGCCGGAGAACTGCGATTAGTATTTTCTACGCGCCCAATGGTTACACCGAAGCTAAAAGATGAATTACCTAGAATGACCACCTCATTTTGTATTTATCAGTTCAACTGCTCCTGTGGAGCGAGTTATATTGGTCGAAGTTCTAGGAATTTACATTTTCGTGCTCGTGAACACCTTCCGGCGTGGTTAAACAAAGGTTTGATGAAGAAGGTGAACAGCTCAATATTGGCCCATTTAGTACAAACCGGTCATAGTGCCAGTATAAACCAATCTTTTTCAATTATTTATAAGGTCAGTAATTTTTTGCCAAAACTGGTCAGACTGAAAGTCCTTCAAACGGCTGAAGCAGTAGCCATCCGAATGAAGAAACCGGAGCTATGCGTACAGAAGAAATATATTCAGCCACTCCTCCTCCCCTGGCCAACATCAAGGCCAATTAATCAATCGTAATCTTAACTATTGAATGACCCAATTTGACTATGACCTTTCGTAGTCAATTGTAATTGTCCCTGTTATCTTTATTCATAAATCTTTGTATTATTATTATTATTATTCGTACTATTGGTTAAATATCATTAATCTCCCCTTTACATGATTCATTCACTTCGCATTCATTCCTCCGTATTACGTCTTACTTATTTGATCGAATTGTAATTGCACTATTATTTCTGTCTCACCCTATTTGACCCATATTTATTCTGATCATGGATCTTAAAATTTCATTTAACATATACGCAGATTCAAGTTAACATTTTATATGAGTCATATTAACATTAACAATTTTATTGTATTTTGTTTATCACAATCCTAAATTCACATGCTCTAAACGATGTACTTTACCCTTAACTTGGCCATTTTTCGGATTAATAATTTGGATATATAACTGTAGAACCTGAAGAGAATTTATCGAAAAGAATATTCTTCGTTCAAATATTAGTCTTTTAATATGACGGGGATCTTTAAACGATTCTACAAAATTGCTGGATGAAAATGAGTAGTATAACGACAAAGGGCAATCCGTATGAATATTTTGTCTACAGATCAGCTAAAACATATTTTCAACTAGTTGGTTATTTTCAATGTAGGACCCGTACATCAGTTCAGGCTTTTAGAATCATAAAGCACTTGCATAAAATAATTACCTCATGGATAACGATTTAACGTAATGACCATACGATTAACAGAATATAATGTATATGTCCTAGAATCTAACAGGGTAACATAAGATTGATACATCACTTTCATAAATGATTCGAATGTCCAATAATATAAATGTTCCACTATCTGAATAAGCAATAGGCGATGGTACTTCCAGTCCTGTCACTGTAGAACGATTATTGAACACATCTATAAAGGAAGCTCCTAAAAACCAAATAGTGATGCTTTTTGGAATTTGTTCACTAATTCTCTTTGAATAGCATCAAATCCCTCAGATAAGGATTTTTTAAAACTACTTTCCAATAATAACTCTAGATAATACATATATAAACTTTAATGCGATAACAACTAACCAGTGAAATCATTTTCATCAAGCTGAAATTCCGACCACCAATCATCAATACGTCGTTCCAATAAATGTATACGAGGCAGAATCCGCAATTCATAGAAACATTTAGCTAACTCTGAGCCTAAATCAAGAGTTAACTGAATGGTGGAAGCGAAAAAAAAGGGAAAACTATTAAAATCACTCCGCAGTGTTAAATTATTAGAAAAGATACAACAAAATTAATGTTGTATACTGATGCATTGTGAAATAAAATAGTGTTTTAATACTGTCAGTAAATTCCGAGTGACGACTGCAATCACTGTGGTTGATAGCCTTGAAAAATATTGGTGAGACTATGGTTTATGGACGAACCAATCAGTTATAAGATAACAGGTGTTGGATTTTGGTGCGAAATTCATTCATTCATATAGCTAAATAGTGTTTGTGATAGACCCTGAATTTAGTTTCTAACCCTAATCATCAACTTTAAACCATAATTCTAATTCCTCCCACTGCTCTATAACCCTAATTTAGTCCTAGTAAGTGGATGTTCACAAGGTAATTTTGGAGTAGCTCAAAAGCCGTCCATAAACTATGGTCTCACCAAAATATTTACTGATGGCTCTTTTACACAATGATCCATGCCACTTAAATTTGGATCTGATTATCTGCTGAAGCCCACTATCTGTATATCATACGCGAGGACACTATTTCAAACACATACAACTATGCTGTTAAACGACTGCTTAATCAAATTTTATATTTAAAAAATCGCATATGGCCTAATATTGTCATGCTTCAATTTTATAAATAAAAATTACAATTCACTTTCAGTAGTATCTTGAAAGATGATCAAACAAAAAAAAACAGAAAAATGGGCGTAATCATGGATCAAATAATTAATAATGATTGCTACGATAATTAAGATTACATTAAAGTTTACGAAACTAATACATTTGTTGTTTAAGTGACAAACGCTTATTCATTAAATATTTAGAAGATATCAATTTCACATAGATGATGGTAGTTTGACAGTTAATTAAACAGTTAGAAAAACCCAATAGGTTAAGCAAATAAAATAATTAGTTTTACTGAACTGACTTCTTTTTTGGAAAACTCTATTTATTATCTCTATCAACACAAATATTTTTTTGCATCCAATTTATGATACAACATGAATAGAGATGGAAAATAGAATAAAGGAATGTTTTAAGCATGACAAATCAATGTTCAAAATAGATAAGGGAGTGATGAGTTATGAAAACTTAGTGAGACAGGGTGTTATACACATTGCATTTGGATTGAAGACACTAGGCATGACTCGTAGTATATACGTAGTAAATTTAGCGATTATATAAGTAGACAAGTGAGAGAAAATAAAGTTTTTCTCCAGAATTAGTAAGAAAGCAAGTATTTTTTCCTCGCGGTTGACACTGTTCATCGAAAACATTCCTTGTGAATCAATAATTTTACTGATTACTTAAATACTATTCATATAGGTTCATAGAAAATGTTTCAAACACTGTTAACTCTAGCTACTTGACGAACTCCTTCTTTTTCATCGGGACACTTTCTAACCCCATTATTTACGATACATGAGACAATATATCCTCCTTTTCCGTTGCTAATTCATTTCAGCTTTGCGAAAGGTATTAGTTTGGGTTCTGTGATACATGTGTCATATGATTTTCATAAAACTTTATAAGTTATAATTAATCTATGGAAAGCTTAGATTTCTTGGATAGGCAAATATATGAGAAATATATATATAATATAGCTTAAAGAATTAAAAATGCAAACGCTATTGGGAAGATAGTTAGTAGATAAAGAAGTTACAATATAATGCTTCGTATTAAAAACAGTGAATACTGTTTATTCCTTGACACTGATTATTAGCTATGTTAGTCAATGTCTAAAAAATCATGGAAAGCAAAAGTAGGAAAACCAATGGTGGAATTTCATTAAATTTTTATGTTAATAATATAGAGCTCATTAAAATACTAATAAATACGATAGGGGGTCATATGTTCTGGCTCAAATAATTACAATCAGGTAGATACGAAAAGTAAATAAGCTAATATCAAAAATATATTTAACTTGCTTTTAAATTTCGATCAGATAACTTTATGCGTCGAAAGAATTTCGACTTGGATTGGACTTCAAGAGCTTTGGCACGCCTATAACCAATAAGTAAACAAACAGGTAAGAAAAATAGTATTATTAAAATTTTATGTAAACATATTATATTTATTTTAGTTTGGACAATAAATTCGTTTTCTGTACGGGGTAATATTGTAAACATTAAGTATTTACATTTTAATTAGTATTCAGGAAGTGACTACAAAATGAAATTATTTTGCTGCTTAAATACACAAAGTGTTAGCTATATTCCTTTGTATGTTTTCATTACGGGGAAAACGAACCAAAAGATTTCAAAACCGGAAAACTTTTTTTGTATGGAATAAATGCATTTATCGTCAGTACTTGAAAGGCATTTAAACACTTTTAATGTATTTTCTTTGTTTGCCATTCAATTCAATGGTTTTAAATATATTTTTATTCACTTAACACATGTGAATATTCTATGATGAGTTCATTCAAGCCAATTTCTATTCAGTACAATTGAAATCTCCTTACCATTATGATTTCTGAATAGTCACAGATACAAAGAAATTATCATAACTCTTTTTTACTGTTCAATTATTGTGTTTTCATCATAATCAATGTAAAACTTAAAATAATGAATTTTAAATTATTTGTAATAACTTCATCTTGTTGATTAAAAATGTATTCCGCAGTGAAGAAGTGTAATAATAATAATAATAATAATAATATTATTATTATTATTATTATTAGTATTAGTATTAGTATTAATTTGTGCTTTGTTATTTTTTCGCATTTTTGAAACAGTTTCCTAGTTACAGTTATAAGGGATGCCTACATTATAGTTTATAATTAATGTAGACATTGATGAATAATTAAATAAGATGTTGAGATGATCAATAAGAGTTAGCTACCATAGGTTAAACAATAACCTAGCACATTGTACAGAGTTATGGAGAAACAACAAAAGAGATTTCTTACGAAACAAAAAAAAGAACAAATAGCCAACAATCTATTCCTCCTATCTAATTTAAGTTGATTTACATCTAAACGAAACAATTCAACTGTACACTATCTGATTATTAATAAAAAATGTTATATAATTAACGAGGAAAAGATTAGCTTACCTATTATAACTCTTTTCTATTAGGTTGAGCCAACATCGAGTTTTGGTATTTAATGTATCGGCGACAGTGTTGTCCGATAACACAGATATAGGTAGGGAAGATAATGATTGTAAAAAATCGCTAACGTAAAAAATAGATCAAATTGAAATAATCTTATCTAAATTATATGTGGATACAAGTAAGAAATATAGAATAACAAAAATTAGACGAAAACTTTGTGATGATATGAATGGATGATAAACTACTGAACTTGATATTTTCAAGAAAGCTGATGATAATAACAAACAAGAGACTAATTATGTAATTTCTACTGATTCCTAATACAGTATTTTTCACCAGACTACCGGTGCCTTGAAAACAGCTCTATACTACTGGTCACGGTTGTTTTCAGAATATTGATGTTACTCAATAAGTTATAAGAATTATTAGATTTGGTGACAATCCAAGTGTAATGTATGGTGTCGAGAGATCTTACATTATGATCTAGATGATTACATGTAACATGTTTTTGATGTAATTTTAATATATGCATTTTTTCCTTCCTAATAATGTACAGTTTAATAGTATGAAGCACCTGTTCACATATACTTATAAAGACAGGTGAACAATTGAATAAATATCTCAAATTATGAGATCTTGAAGAAACTGATTGACAGACAAACGGTTGTAGAACACTTCATGACAGCTTCACTTGATCACAAGATATCAAATATTTTTTTTACCTCAAAGGTGAAAATTATTGTACCAATATGATCTGCACAATGTCCATTTTTCAGGTCAAATGTGGGCGAAAATCTATGCGAAATCTAATTCCTTGAAATGTTATAACTGATGCATCTGATAAGAGTTCAGTATTAATTTTGATGGCATAAAAGTTTATGCATATTATTATAAACAATAAAGATGAAATACATATGATTACTGTGATTATATATAATCAACCAATAGTTTTAAAAAATGGTGTTAAAATGTTATTAATAGTACTTAAGTACCTAATACCTACCTTAGTATAAGGAAGTCTATATTATTGTACATAGTATAACAGACACATACGTCTTTAGAATTACTAACGGATTAATAAACTTTAGCATCGATTTCCACCCTAAATGTCACATGCTACAAACTTCGATGAAAACAACTTGTATAAGTATCATGAATAACTCCTTTGGGAAATAAATTTATACAAACAGTGTAAGCCAGTCAATGATTATTTATACCAGCGGCTAACGATGATATCTAAATTTAAGCAAGATAAAAAGTTAAGTTAGTTTAATGCACTAACGGCGACACTATATATAAATACTTCCGGGAAGTGATAACCGCCCTCATACCTCTAATAGCACTCAAGACCATTGTATTCATAATTAATCTCCCTCTTCAATTCCTAGTATTCCTCTTACGTCGACTTTCAACTCTAAACTCCCTTCTTTGGCTTCCTTCTCAAGTGTCACCATGGCCAACGATCCTAGTGCTTTCGAAGATCATCACGTTAATTTACTCTTCGGTTTATATGTTCCGAGTTATATCTGTTAGATATCGTTGCAACGATGCGATTTCCAAACATAATTCATCCAGACTACGCATCTCGAATAAATGTCATGGATAACTTGTTTCGATTATACAGATATGAACTGAACGTCAAAAACACTGTTCAGATAGTCCAACTAGTCCTTTGAGTAGTAAAAATGAATTTAATAAGATTATTAATGGGCCAAATATTCAGTGGGAAAGAAAACAAAGTAGTTCATAACATTAAATAGTTGATAACTGGTTGATGTAACAAAAAATAAAACCTGTGATATTCTCAGAAGGAACACATGTGTTTATGTAAGAGACTAGGATCAACTCAATCGCTTTATTTTCTGCTAATTTAAATCTTTGTTCGGTTATAAGCACTGGTTTATACAAAACCTTATCTGAAATAAGTACGCGATAAAATGACGACTATGATTCATTTTTGGCAAGAGACAAAGATACCACTAATAAGTCTAAAAACTAATAAGGAAAGCATACGACGACAAACTTTTTTTTTCATTAGAACTATACGACAAACCTGAAGTAGTAAACAAAACGAGCGAAGGACTACGCTCAATCATGCAAACTACAGGGCTTATTATTAACACCATGTCACACCTCAAAAGAGGTTCCCTTCATAGAAAATTCTAAACAAGTGTGAGAATTCCTCCAGTGTAGAGTTCGGAAGCAAAACACCTACAATAAAGTCATTTCACAGCGAATGTTTAAGGCGAAAAAAAAACGGTTATACCAATAACTATTATGCGGATTTTTTTTAAATTTTGTCCAATTAGCAATCGATAATTAATCGGATATATATATATAGATAGCGAGAGAGAAGGCGTACAGGAAATTGCTTACTTGTGGTTATAAAAATCAACAAAAATAGGTTCACAAGCTGAAGGTAAGGGAGTAAATAAACATGTAACAACAACAACAACTGCAACAACAATGGATAGAAGATAAATAAGTCCATTTGAAAAAAAATCAAGCTAATGAGTTTATGATTCAATTGAAAAATAGTGAGAAAGATTTCTCGTGAAAAAAAGAAACAAAGGGACTCTTGACCAACTCTACGCGACAACAACTCTCTTGATAGACGAGAATAATGAATAATGAACGTGGACAATCAAAAAGCATAATAGTTATTTAATTACATATTCGTAGAACCATTCTAGCAATGGAAGTCAAAAAAATGGAAACGTTATTGTTAAAAATGCAAAACGTCACCATAATTTGCGATAATCGGAAACATGATAAATTCTATGGATAAATTTGTTACATTTAATTTTATTAATAAGTTACGAAGGATAAGTTGACATGCAACTTAATTATTAAACAAATGTAAGTGTCTTGAAAATCTGCACTTCAATCTATACTAAATTGGTTCTACTACTCAAAAATAACTTATAACTGCGTAAATGTATCAAAATGATGTTTTCAAAAAAAGCATGTAAATGCTGGAAAATGAACTTAAGGGTTTTGTCATGGCGAAAACAGCAATGAAATCCTAGAAGTGACTTTTACAACCTCGTATGATTTTCATCTATGAATGTGAATCCTAAAAATGTACATCGACAAAATATTGTGTATGCAAAAATGGATGGTGGCTAACGGTGGAATCCAGGAAGCATGATTCGTCCTATTTAGGACTCAGTATCTGGATGGACCTGCTAGCTACCATCCATCTTTGCTTAAAATGCTTATGACTTAAGACAGTATCGAGGTAATCCGCACAGCATGCACATATATCAATAAGAGAATGATCAGTTGCACTCCTAAACACCAATGAGAAGATTCGAGCAAATAATTAAAAAAATATTGTGCATGATTTTTAAAAATTAACGTCTAAATATGTTTGTTAAATGTAGTTGACTAACAGGCAACCTGTTGGGTTATTCATGACTTAACTTGTCCAAATAGCAAAGTGGTTTGAAACGTGGTTTAAAAACGTGTAAACGATTTTTGGATAGATACACTATCCTATCGTGAATGACGCGATATCGCCATTAGGATAGTGGGGAAAATTATAAAAAAACTTTGAAAAGTACTTTCCGTGGATTCAATAGACATATATTCTCAATATTACATCATCGACTTTTGTCAATTTAAAGTATTCTTAATTGTAGGCTTTTACTTGGCTCATCAATTGTTGCTATATAATCTTGCTTACTTACTTACGCCTGTTACGGACTCCGGTCTGCTGGTCTCGAACTTGGGTATCTACTGAATCTTTCATCTGGTTCAGCAACACACTGTTGAAAACTTTTCCTGATACCGATAGCAGTGTGATGCTTTTGATTTTTTATATTTTCGCATATCTCCTTTCTTTGATATCTAGATGAGTGATCCTTCTTTCTAGTGTGTTGGTGACACCTGTTCCTCCTCTCAAATATCCCTGAATAGAATGTGGAGCATGTTTGCAGTTGCTTCTATGTCTGACTTTAGTGCTTCATGTGGTATATTGTCATGTCCAGCTACTTACTAGTCTTGATCTGTCACATGCCTATGTTTGGAACCTGTTGTTGAGAGTTATCTTAAATTCACTGAGTTTGTTCGTATCTCCAAGGAAGGCTTAATTGAGACTTTGTAATGCTGTTTACCCAGTTATCCAGTTCTAATGTCTTCCATCGTCCTTCTGAATTTTTTTAGTGACGTAACTATGACCGATCTGATTTTCTGCGGTGTGATCCAGTGAGACCCATGTAGCTTTGTGTGTGTTTGCGAGGGAAAATTAGGCCGTTTATAACCATCTTGTTGAATGCACATAAATTCGCAAATCTCTCACCATTATCGTTCCTTTCTCACAGTCAGTCCATGTCATCACGTGATATTTTCATACCCGGTGTTGTTCATTCCGACTATGGTGTTTAGGTCTCTCAGCAAGATGGTCAGATCCTTTCCTGAGAACTTCTTTATGATCGACTGCAGCTTTTCGTAACACTAATCTTTATCGTTGTCATTCCTATCATTGATGGGTGCATAACGCTGTATAACATTCACTGTGGTTTCCTCCTTCTTTGTTTTGAAGAATGTTGTAATGATCCTGCGTTCATGAGTTTCCCATCCGATAAGTGGTTTATTTGCTTCCTTGGACAGCATCAGAGTAACTCCCTCGGTGTGTGGAGCATTTATTTTCGTGAGCATAGTACAGCAGCATTACTCCTGAATCTATCCTTTTCTATCCTGCTTGGGTTCAATGGATTTCACTGATTTCGAGAACCGCCAAGTTGTATCTTCTCATTTCCGTAGCTATTTAACTGGTCCTCCCGGTCTTCTACATTGTCCGAACATTCCATGTACCTGTATTAATAGTTTCCGTGATTATTAGAAAGAATATCAGCCTCGTGACTGTTGGAGAATCTCGTCTTTCACAATGAGGCGTAATAATTCTACTGAATGAAGATCCTTTAACTCCAAGGGCAGATTTTAAATGATTTAATTTGTTTATTCTGGTTAGTGATTTTATTGGCAAGGTTGTTTTCTACGGGATGGGGTTGTCGACCTGATGCTCAACGTACCTTCATAAATCACAGAAAATAATTCATAAACTTGCTACATAGTTCTGCAGAATAAATATCTCGGTTCTGTACATAATGAGATCCACTGTTTATGGTGCATCATGATCTTGTATTCTATGTACATAAGATCACATGAATTTTAAATTTTGAATAAGGGAAAATAAAAGATGGGTACGTGATCCTTCTGGCTTTCCGATTGATAGAATGAGAACAGGTAAAAGCTTTCGTATGGGTGATTGATCACTACGTTAGAAGATATAGTTAGTGGGTGTAAACGGGAAGTTTTATAACACTTATTTATTAAGAAATACGTTATAAACACACCTTTATTTTTAATTCAAATAAACGTTGACTTAAAAATATCTGAAGATCAAGAAGCCCCGAGTAGAAGTACCTACCTCGGCTTGGTAAAAAACAAATTATACAATCTCCAAGAGTAAACTAAAACATTTTGGATATAAAATAATCTAAAGTAATGTTAGTATTGAAAGAAAATCCATTGTTCATACAGAATAAATTGTTCTTTAGTTGGACTCCTAGTACAGGAAATAGCTTATCTAACTGGAAAAAAATTACAACATTCATTAAGAAATGGAAAGATATAGCACTTTTAAAACTCAATATTAAAAGTGCTTGACAAAAATGTATTAATTCTAACAGGTTATTATTAATAATTTATAGATTACGCTTACTTGTACACAGTGATAGGCTTCTTAGCCATAGATTCCATTTGGCTTTTCCATAAATTCAGTTCCAAATATTCTAATTGCACATTAAGTATAATCAAAATGTCTTCAGGTCGAGCCTGGACAAATAATCAATCATATAATTGTAAATATATAGTTATCGATCAGATAACAGAGAAAATGATGAAACAATATATTTAACAAAAATAACTCATAAAGTGATGGAAACTATGCTCAAACACCAAAATAATTTTGATACTGTCTATATTCTTTAACTAATAAATAAAATGTACCAATTCATAGTTATTTTTTTCCGAAAATTATAGACTATAATACAAAACTAGTTTTATGAGCAACAATCAGTGGGAATAACCGTAATTTAATCAGTTAGGCGTTAGGAACGTAGAACCTGACAATATATTTGAGCTGTTTCAAGAAACAGCACCAAATCTGCACAGTGAAATGAAGTCAAGACAAATACGATAGTAGTAGAATTATTAACAATATTACTAGCAGTATAAGAGGATAGGCACAAACGATAAGATTAGGGAATAAATTCGTGAAATAATAAGTTCAAGTATTTTAAGACAAAGAGTGAATAAATTTGCTCCATTCAGTCTGATTCAGGGCTACTTCAATTAAAGTCTTCAATCATAAAGTCTAAATCCACTTACACGACTCACTTCAGTAGTTAGTGACCTCATGAACAAATGCCAAGTCTGTAAATCAATTTCAACAAGGAACCTTGTATCTATAACTCCACTCTTAAACTCTCATATAAATTGTAATGATACAGTTGATAAGAAAAAAGAATCATGTAAACTATTTTTAGTAGTAATGATATTCAACAGTAATAAGGAAAGAAAGACCTTGACGCTTTTAGACGTATTCCTAATACGCAGTAAATTATAAAATCTATATTTAACTGTTTCTACTGTAGGGGTTTGAATAGACTGTAAGAGATCACAGTTCATATCACTCAGTCAGTCAGTCAGCTACAACGTAGGACCAGGCACATATGTGCATCGGTCCAGGTTGCCATACCGCATTAGCACAGCAAGATGAACATCGGATTCATAGGAGTAGTTAAGCTAATGGTAGTAATATATAAAAGAAAGATTGCAATAAGGATATAGTACAGGAAGAAAGAATTAGTTAGTAGAAAGAAAGATATAAAGCGATTTTAATCTCTTAGTTTAAGGGAAGACAGACAGTGTATACACCGACGCCATTGTGATCGATTCTGAGCCATGTCACCAAGAGTCTCCAAACATTGGTTACGATAGTCACACGGACCCCAACCAAGTAGTCTGCATCTACCAACATGCCTTAGACTAGAGGTTAGTGTCTTCAAGCACTGATGCCACGTTTTGGTTTGGCCGCCCCTAATTATCTTTCAACCATCTCTAACACTCGTTAGCGTTGCACGACGTGTTAATCGGTGTTCAGGCATACGTAACACGTGGCCCAACCATCTCAGTCGATGAAGATTCACAACCTCATCAACTGATTTACCATCATTACCTAATATCCTGAAGCAACAACTTGCATTTCGAGGGAGAGAAGCGTATTCCAAACATTCTGGCATTGTTGCTCAGTGCTTACAAAAGACTCTGCATTTTATCGGCGTCTTCACCAAACAGGACTATGTCATCTGCGTATTCTAAGTCAATAAGTGGACCTCCTGGAAGGAGATCAATACCCGAGAATTCAGTCGACGAGAATGTTATTTCCATCAGTAGGTCTATGATGAAGTTAAACAGAAATGGAGAAAGTGGACAGCCTTGACGGACACCACTTGAGGTTGCAAAGGTAGATGACAGTTCGCCATAAGCTCTGACTCGACTAGTAGTGTTTGAGTAAAAAGCCTTTACAAGGTTTATGTACTTCTGGGGTACGCCTTTCAATGACAGACACCGCCACAGAATCTCGCGGTCTACCGAGTCGAATGCTGCTTTTAAGTCAAGAAAGACCACCATTGTCAGACGTCCGTAAGTATGCCTGTGTTCTAGAGCCTGACGAATGGTGAATATGTGGTCAATGCAGCCACGACCAGGTCTGAAGCCAGCTTGGTTCTCTCGTGTTTGCAGTTCACGAGTCTTAGTTAGACGTCTGATAATTATCGAGGCTAGTATTTTAGATATTATATTAGTTAAACTAATCCCTCTATGATTGTCACAGGATGATTTTGACCCTTTCTTATATATTGGGACGATAAGTGATTGCGACCAGTCAGATGGAATAACGTCTAACTCCCAGATCTTAGCTAAAATATTAGTCAACCTAATCGCTAAAATTGGACCACCATCCTTAAAGACTTCTGGAGCCAATCCATCTGGACCAGCTGCCCTTCCTCGTTTCAGACTACCTATAGCCTTTTGAACTTCTGCTAGAGTTGGGGGACCTACTTCAATGTTCCATTCACACTTTCTGGGAATGGAGGGTAGTTGTAGAGTAGCTGAAGGCCAGCTGAACTGTTCTCTGAAATGTTCCACCCATCGTTCTAAACGTCTGGACTGGGAGCAGATGAGAGTATCGCCTTTTTCCGAAATAATTTCACTTACACTTGACTTATTTGTTCCAGTTTTTTTATTAGTCTGTAAAGCTGTCTTGTGTTCCCTATAGTCGCCGCCTTTTCCATCTGTTTTGCCTTCGTTGCCCACCACTGCTCACGGTCGTTCCTTAGACTTTTGCTTAACCTAGATCTGATTTGTTGTCGCTCTTCATCATGTTCGGAACCTGATGGGACGAGTTTGCGAGAATCCATCAGTGTGATAGACTTTGAAGAAATCCACTGGTTCTTTGTAACTCTGTGGTTTAAGTCGCTAATAGATGTCACTGCTGCTTCCACAGCTGCTTGTATGTCTTTCCAAGCAACATCTGGGTCAGCCTCGTCTTCAGAACTACCTAAGTGTGAACTCAGTTGTTCTTGGAACCTACTTTTGGTTTTCTCGTTACTCAACTCAGTTCTAATGGGTCTTTTTAATGTGGCTTTTTTGCGTCCAGTGAGACGCAAGCAGATGCATGCCCGTATTAGGGCATGGTCGGAGTCCAAGCAGGTACTCCAGAATGAGCGACAATCTTCTACCGACCCTCTCCAACGATGACTGATGGCAATATGGTCTATTTGAGTCCATCGTTGGTTTGGTGTAGGGGGTCGCCATGTTAGACGATGTCTCTCTTTATGCTTAAAATTTGTGTTTGCTAATAATAAACGATTGTCCGAGCACAGTTGCAGCAGACGATCACCATTATCTGTTCGCTGTGCCGGTATACAAAAATACACACCTAAATGCCTTTCTGTTTGGTTTAAACCACCTATCTGGGGATTAAAGTCACCTGCTACGTGTACTATGTCTGAACGTTTAGCTTTATGAAGAAGTTCAGATAGCTTTCTGTACAATTCATCTTTCATTTCACCTGAGCTGCAGTCAGTGGGAGCGTAGGCAGAAACGACAGAAAGGCAACGACGTGTGTCTCTGTCCTTCCGAGTTCTTACGGAGCCGTTTAGCCGAACAGCACATAGACGACTGTTCCGCCCCCGAATGCCCTGGTATGGCCGAGAGTGGGGAGAGTCCGCTCTCCCTCTCGAAATACTCTCACACGGCCACGCGTATACAGCCTCTGCCAGGGAAGTCCTACTCATTGCCTTCTCGTGGCGGGGGTGTTGTTTACGAAAATGAGAGGACGAAAAGCGAATGTCCGGCGCTTTAACCGGATCACAAACCAATGGTGCACATGGGCTCCAGTATCCTGCGGGAACAAATGGCGTATGAACCAATCGTTGGTCACCGGCTACCATGGGACTGCATCTCCTTACGATGCTCCACTGCCTTGTGGGTTAGACCTTTAGGTCAAAGGCTCGGGGTGTGGCCCCCTAAGATAACCACCTGCTTCGGTTTGGGCACCCGGGCAGTATCACAGCCCACACACAAACGATGAACTCTATGTCTATGGAAACTGCTTTTCTCGCTCCGAAAAACAATCAATTGATTCAAATTATTATCATTACTATTATTGTCATTATTAATACTATTATTATTACTATTTTTGTCATTATTATTATTATTATTATTATTATTATTATTATTATTATTATTATTATTTACCACATTATTCACCCTCTTTTATACTTATACAGCGGCTCGTCTTTGGTGGAAATCCGACTGTATCTAAACGTTCTCGAGTCACTGTCCGGTTGAAAATTGTATGTTACCACCGAATACGAGGACTGAAGCAGTTTTTCTGAAACCACGTGCACCATTCAAACTGGCTGCCTTCAACGTTCGCACATTTATGCAGGTCGGACAACAGATAGGGCTGGCTATGTCTTTGGAAAGTCTTAATATCGATGTCTGTTGTCTATCCGAGACCCGTATTCAAGACTCTGGCGAAGTACTACAAATTCGATCTCCATCTGTCGCTTCGAAAAGCTTGTTTTACGTGCGCTTATCCGGGGACCCTGTGGCATCTTCGTCTGGTCTTGCTGGCGTTGGTGTCGCACTAAGCGCTAGAGCTGAGGCAGCACTAGTCGATTGGATCCCCATTAACAGTCGGTTATGTGCTGTTAGATTAGAAAGTTCCATCAAAGTGAGAAGAAATCGGCGTGAGAAACGATGTCTTTTCGTCATCTCCGCCTATGCCCCGACAGATTGCAGCCCGGATGCAATCAAGGATGAGTTTTACCACCAGTTATCTGTTCTTCTCCAGAAAGTGCGTTCGACAGATATTGTAGTACTAGCCGGAGACTTGAATGCTCAGGTCGGGCGTCTAGGCACAGAAGAGAGTCGTTTAGGTGGCCGATGGGGACTCGTTGGTCGCAGGTCAGATAACGGGGACCGTCTACTGCAACTTTGCACAGACCACAACCTGTTTCTGGCTAGCACTAACTTTCGGCACAGTCATCGCCGATGTGCCACCTGGCGTCCTCCCTCTGCATCTCAAGCCTGGACTCAGATTGATCACATCGCGATCAGCTACCGCTGGCGTGGTTGTGTACAAGACTGCCGCTCCTTTTGGAGTACCTATCTGGACTCTGACCATGCCTTGGTCTGCGCCAATCTTGCCTTACTTTTCAGTGGACAACGAAGTGACCGCCATCAACGGATTGATGTTAGCAAGCTGGTTGCAACTTCTGTTGCAAGTAAGTATCGAACCGAGCTAGCCTCTAGGCTAGCTACCACTCCACCGAAAAGTATAGATGAGCATTGGTTGCAATTGCATGACGCCATGAAAATGGCGGGAACAGTCAGTTGTGGGTTTGCGAAACGTCCCGCTTATAAGCACTGGGTTTCTTCTGGTTCCTTACAACTCATTGAAGCCCGTCGGTCTACTCCGGGTGACCGTGAGTTTGACCATAAACGAAGGATGTTACGTAAGGAAATTGGGCAAAGCTTGCGTAAGGACCGAGAAGCCTGGTGGTCGATGCGTGCTAATGAGCTGGAAGCAGCAGCTGCATCTGGTAACTACCGGAAGCTCTTCCAGCTCATCCGAGCCACTGGCAGCAAGAAGTCTGGTGTGAGTGAAACAATCTGCGAGGATGATGGGATGCCAATCACTAACATCCATCGACGTCTTGGACGATGGGCAGAATTTTTCGAAGGGCAGTTCAACTGGCCTGCTGCTCCGGCAACATCGGTCAGACTGTCCTGCCCTCCATGGCCGGTGACGACTGATCCACCAAATGAGGAGGAAGTCCGCAAGGAACTCCAACTCTTGAAGCGTTACAAATCACCTGGCCCAGATGACTTACCTCCGGCTCTTTTTAAAGATGGTGGTGACTTTTTGACTAAGGAATTGACGACGTTGTTTACAAAGGTTTGGGAACTAGAGAGTGTACCAACGTCATGGAATGAGTCGATAGTTGTCCCTATCTTTAAAAAGGGTTCACGTCGTTCCTGTAACAACTATCGGGGGATAAGTTACTTCCGATTGCGTCCAAGCTATTGGCTTCCGTCATTCTTCGTAGGTTGTTCAAAACCCGAGAAAGATTGACTCGCGAGGAGCAGGCTGGGTTTCGTTCTGGTCGAGGATGTATTGATCATATCTTCACCCTCCGCCAAATGTTAGAACACCGCCATACTTTCAAAGGCCAACAATCGTAGTGTTTCTTGACATCAGGGCTGCCTTCGATTCGTTGGACAGGACTGTTCTCTGGGATTGTCTATTGAAGAAGGGTGTGCCTGAGAAGTTTATTAACATCCTAAAAGCCCTATATAAAACACCTCAGGCAGAGTGAGGGCATACAACCACCTCTCTCCATTGTTCCATTCGAGCAGTGGGGTTAGGCAGGGTTGCCCAATCTCACCATTCCTCTTCAACTTTGCCATCGATGACATTCTGGAAACAGCTCTGATGAATGTAAGTAATGGTGGTGTGGATCTGTTGCCTGGAGAAAGACTTCTCGACCTTGAGTATGCGGACGATATTGTCTTACTGTGCGATAATGCCCAAGGCATGCAATCCGCACTTAATCAGTTGGCAATCAGTGTCCGTAGGTATGGTATGTGCTTTGCACCTTCGAAGTGCAAAGTACTTCTACAAGACTGGCAGGATTCTAATCCTGTACTCACCCTGGATGGTGAGCAGATAGACGTAGTTGAGAAGTTCGTGTATCTGGGTAGCTGCATAAGTGCTGGTGGGGGTGTGAGTGATGAGATCAATGCACGAATAGTGAAAGCCAGAGCGGCTTATGCCAATCTGGGCCACCTTTGGCGCCTTCGTGATGTTAGTCTGGCTGTAAAAGGTCGGATCTACAACGCGTCGGTGAGAGCAGTTTTGCTCTATGCTTGTGAAACCTGGCCTCTCCGAGTTGAGGACGTTAGACGACTCTCTGTGTTCGATCATCGCTGTCTCCGAAGGATTGCTGACATTCAGTGGCAACACCATGTCAGTAATGCAGAGGTTCGGCATCGTGTGTTCGGGCACAGAGATGATAATCAATTGGTGTCACCATCTTGAAACACCGACTTCGGTGGCTTGGACATGTTCTCCGAATGTCGTCCCAGAGAATTCCACGTCGTGCATTATTTGCCGACTCTGGGACTGGTTGGAAGAAGCGGAGAGGTGGTCAGTGCATGACATGGTGTCGTGGCATGAAAGAAAGCTGCAAAGGACTGGCTTGTGTTGGTCCTTCACGACTCCCTGGTTGGGGTCCGAGAGATGGTGCTACACAGTGGCTAGAGACGTTATCAGATATGGCTCAGAATAGAAGCCAGTGGCGATCCTGCTGTAACCTTCTTTTACTTTCTTCATAAAAAGTGGTTGTGTCTCCTTTACCTGAAAGATTTCTTCTGATTGTACCTTTCCGTTCCCTCGTTACTACCACACTACCTTACACCAATCTCTTCGTTATTGTTCTCTTTTTTTTGCGCTCCTTAGTTTTTTTTTCTATTTCTCTTCGAATTCTCATTGTTTTGTGTGGCGCATATATATTGGCGCTCTCTTGTACCAATATTCATGTGTTCAAATAAATAAATAAATAATAGTGCTATGCCTACATACCAGTCCACGAGAACTAGCCATCTGGTCGCCAGATACATGTAGGGTGTATCTCGTCGGTTTTCCCTTTTTGTCGATGTAAGGTCAAGTGAATGACCACACTGGGATCCTGTATGCGTGTTTCGGAGACACAGCATACATCAATGGTACGAGATTCTAGGGTTTTAACCAGGGAAGCCTGATGACCGATTTGACATAGGGTGCGTACATTGAAGGCTCCAATGTGTAGTGTGGAGCGAGATTTCAGTAGATCTGGACAGTGTTTTGCGCACTAGAATCGCTGGCTACAGTGACACTTGTGGGGGAAGCCGAAAAAAGAAGTTTAGAGTTTGAAGTCGATGTAGGAGGAATAATAGGAATTAAAGAGGGAGGTTGATTATGAATACAGTGGTCTTGAGTGCTGTTAGAGGTATGAGGGCGGTTATCACTTCCCAGTTGCCCACACCGTGGAAGGGTTCTTCTGGAGGTACCTGAAAAGGAAATTGTGTTAGAGGTGGTCATAGTGACCTGAGAGCGTGACCGCAGTGCCCAAGGGACAACTGCTTGAGGTCGGTCACACACGACCTATTATGGGCAATTTTTGTGTTAGCTCCGTACTTGTTGAGACCTTACCGCCGGAGACGGATATCCGTGGGATAAGGCGAGGTGTGCATTTTTAGGGTCGACCTTTTCTAACCCCACCCCTCCTTTTGGGAAGGCAGCATCGCTGTCATGCTGGTTGTCTGAAGGAAACACCTTACTGCTGTCACACCTCTGTACAGTCAGCAGTACGACTTCGCCTTCGGACCTTGGGTTTGTTGCTTTTAGTCTTACCGCTCTTCAACCGACCTTTCTGACGTGGTAGGACCTTGAGGAACAGTTGTTCCAGTCAGTATAGCTCGGTTGCTTCATCATGATAGGCAAGCCCGACCACCACGTCAAGGTAGCAACAACGGTCGGTATTTCATATCACTGACTGATCATAGTTAAACAGTTACTAAAAACTAAGAAGTAGTGGACAGATCTTATGTCGTAGTATAAGACTCCTTAATGGTGTGTACTTAGGACCCCACCGGGAACCTAACCTAGGGACTTTAAGCTTCACTACGAGAGCTTAAACTTAATAGATCCGGGGTCGAATGGTCACTTCAATCAATTTGTGATAATGTATGATTATCCCCCATTGCCAATGATGATATGTACCTCACACTCGACACGACTGAACGCCATCAGTCACTTATTCTCTTTGGAACTACCTCTTGAAGTAAATCTTGGTCGCGGATGAGTACTGCCCATGGCTACCTAGCTTTTAATCGTTTTCAGTTTATGGTTAGTTTTTGTGATATAAACTATATAATAGACTATTTATCAACGACGTTGATCTTCTTAATCTAGTTTGACATTCATTTATAATAACTGTTTAAAAGAAATATGAGCTACTTGGAAAAGTTAAAGAACAGTTTCTTTGTTTAAAATAAGATCAATGTTGTACATTTCAGATAAACGAAATGGTTGGAACATTTTCATTTTAAAATACATATTTATCACCTTTCATTTTATTGCAACGCAACACATTTTGTTTACAAGCTGACCGTATATAATCAGTGTTTATGATGATGGTTTACAAGACACACAGTGTTCACATAAAGAAAAATAACAAATACGATTTTAAAAATGTGATACAAATAATAGTTAATTATAAAGCTTTGAAAACTAACCAGTAAGCAAATGCTTCGCACAGTTTGAGGATCATTAGAACGTTTCACAGAACAATTCTCTTGACATGGTATACGAGTGACTAGTTTGAACACGAAGTGAAATACGAAAGCATCCCACAAAGTATACAGTAGATATTTGGTTACGGTGAATAAAAGATGAAGTATGAACCATACAGGGCATAATATAAATGCACACAGTACACTGACTAAAAATTGCACGATCGATTTTAACAAGAATTGGTAAATAATAATCTCGAATAATGGTAGTAGACGATTAGAACCAAGAACTAAGATTTTCAAGATAGAAAATAACAAAACAAAAACATTAGATCTACACACAATGACCGATATTTGGCATGAACGTTATAATATTACTCATTGATGAAGTCGAATTGTAATTGCTAACAACAGAAAAAAACAAAGAAGTTAAACTGGGATGAACTGACAATAATTTTATTTCTACGACAAATATTGGTAGACTGATTAATTTTATGTCACCAGCAATTCAAAACCGCTATTTTTTGTTCAGTATACGATAACTAGCAAACCCATATAAAACCTAACATTGATGAAACAAGCAACCAAAAATGAGATGATTGTTCATTTAAATTATATTAGGATCTAGGCATATTAACATGCCTACAGGTTAAATCAAATGTTAATGAATACCACTGAATACTAGCGTATTTAAAATAATTTAGTAACGTAATTCAAATGTCTACTTTATATTACTCATCAGTATGGTATGAAAGAATATTGCATAAAACAAATATTCTTTAATGAAAATATATATGAGAACAAAACATTAACATACCCGGTGTGTATGCATTCCAAAAGAGTAAACCAAGTAAATGTGCAAGTAAAGATAGTAATGGTATCACAGGTATCGAAAGCACACCGACTACTATTGAAGTGGTAGAGCATAAAATACATAGTGTAGGCCAAAATATTATTAGAACCATGGTTGTCAAGACACCACAAATTATATACGTCCAGATCCAATGAATTGGTCGTATTATATACCATCGAAAAATCCCAGTTGATAACAATTGATGGTCAAAATTTTGCCTATTTTTACGTAGTGTAGTCCACATTTGACGAAGAAAGCTGATTAAAGTATGATTATAATATGCTTTGTCATGATATACATAACCCTTTAAATTGAAGAGCAACAAACAAAAATGATTACATACCAGTCATAAATTTAGTATAGAATGCTCAGCAAAATACTTTGGAAGTATAGAAGTATGGATCTAAACCATTGGAATCAATTTCGTAACAATGCGGAACAAGATGAAAGATAGGTTTTCAGATGTTAACGAATCCTAACAATAGCATACAAAGTCAACTCGCATAATTTACATTATATCACAGTGAAATACAGTCATTAGGTCAGATTGCGATCTATTATTACTATCTGGGCGTGTTATGAGCCAACATGAGATTAGGGAAATAGACAAGATAACAATTTCCATTAGAGATATTTCGTATTACAGTCACCAAGATATAATAAACGGTAAGAGAAAATCATATTAAAAGACCAGTTAATATTTTCACCCGATATGACATTTTAAGCTTCAATCAAATATTTTGAGAAAACATCTTTTACTACTTATTGTAATATAGTAGCTTATTGAGAAATACGAAACTTTCACTGAGCAGTAAAACCCTGATGAAGTAAGTAACCGCATAAATCACAAATAGCCCGTGAGTTAACTTGTTAACTTACTGAATTTTTATCTACTTTGTACATGTAATAGATTGACGTCGGCTTGAACAATACCACGTAGCTGACACATGATTGGAAAGGGATAATGACCTGCCAAACAAAAAACAAAAACAACTTAGTCATCATGATGGTTATACCAAGTTTAAAAACTAGTGTTACAAAAACAACAGTCAACATTTAAGTGTCATGATTTATAAAAGACACGATGGTAGACAATTTTTACTATACTAAGTTATAACACTTATGCACATACTTAAAAATAGAACTACGTAACTTTTTGCATCACGTAATAAATACAATAACAGTAGGTTAACTTAAATGGTTTGACTAACACGAAGAGTTCAAAATACTGACAAAAATAAACTGGGAAATTACAAGACAAGTGTGAAGTTACTTTACGCTTTGTTCATACTCCCCAGTGTACTAAAATATTACTAGTCAGGCGATGTGTTTGGTTTTGCATAAAGTCGAGGTTTTTGAAGAATCCAAATATCAGGATGAAACAGAAGTCCAGTACTCATTGGTCTTCAGTTATTTTAATGTTAATTTTAATTCAAGGTGAGAGCTGTTATGAAACCAAGCAGTCAAATTATCAACGAACAAGCTCTTACCTTGTGAGTTCGTATATAACAATTAAGTTTGACTGACCTGAAATTCATAGTCAGTGAAATGAGATTGGTAGTCGTACTCACATATCAGCTGATATACTGAATCCTTAATAATTTTCCAACCCATTAATTCACCAGATATCGTCTTTTTTGAATAATTGATCACAAACACCATACTATTTCTTATTTCAATATAATCGGTAATTGGATTCTGCAAAACTTTGTCTTCACATAGATACAAACAAGACTCATTCATTCAATCCTATTTCGTTTCTTCATTGATTATGACTACTAAAACTATCAACACGAATGTTGAAATATAGGGATTACACAATCGATTAATATTTAAACTTACAAAAAGTATTCCAATGAACGGATGAGCCATGAATAAGTGCATAGAAAGAAACAAGCCAACGCCACATAAAATGACGTGTGGAAGCTTTTAACACTAATGTAGATTGCATGACAAAATTTGATTGCGAATAATTCACCTGTATAAGATTAGAAAAATAATAATAGTAGTGATATTAACAAATGTTAATGAAAAAACTAATTAATAAATAATAATGAATTAGTGTCAAGAATGACGATTACGAATGGAATACAGTCTCAATGGATATCACATTTATTAACTGGAAAAAGTACACCGTTTAAGGGATAACCAAACACGTAATTAAGGAGATAAATCTTCTAAATGATACAGTAGTAATAGCTCAGCTACTTCACTTCATACCAATAGTTCAGGTGTTGAGACAGCATTTTGTATCTGGAGAAAGAATCGTATCTCAAACATGCTTGGATTGTTGTTCAAGGAGATCAGAAGACCGTATGGAACAAAACTATATCATCTGGGTATTTTAGGTTACCAAATGTATCTTCACGTAGAAAGTTGGTTCTTGGAAAAACAGATGATGATAGCATTGTCCTTAAAAGAATATCATTGACGAAGTTAGACCAAAAACGAAGTAAGTGGAAAATTTATATGAACACCAAATGATTTTATTGATTTCGATGAAGGTTCGCCATAAGCTCCAACTCGATCAGTGTTCAAGTAGAGAAGCAATACAGGGTTGATATACATTTTAAATATGCGTTTCATTGATAGACACACATAAAACTTGTCGATCAACGGAGTCAAACTCTACCTTAAGGTCGAGAAATACAACTATGATTGGGAGTCAGTATAACATGCCTGTGTCCCAGAATCTGGCGAATGTTTGGTTTACATATGCGAGTCTATGTCTGAAACCAACTTGATTTTCTCGAGTCCGGTCTTCATGAGGCCAAGATAACTGCTGTATGATTATTGAGGATAATATATAAAACACTATTAGTCAAACTGATTCCTCTGTGGCTGTAACAAGAGGATTTCTGTCCTTAATTATAGACTGGAACGATCAGCAATTGAGGCCACCTAGACGAGATGGCGTTCAGTTCCGTGGCTTTAGTTATTATCTCAGTCATTCTAACCACTGAAGTGAACCATTATCCATCAAGACCTCTGAGGTTAGTCTATCACTGTCTGCTGCTGTTCCTGTTTTTCTCAATCTAATTAAGGATCTAGGAACTTCTATTTACATTCTATTTAGACTGTTTGGTAACGGTTCAGTGAAACTGTTCTTCAAAGTGTTCCACATTTTCCGAAATAGTCTAACTCTAGAATTTTAATACCTATCACCTTGATAAAGCTGGAAAGTTGTCTGTTGTTACCAACTGTCACTGCCTTTTCCATTCCTTTTTCTTTCAGAGTGCACATTATCTTGATATCTGACAAACTACTTCTCTAGCTGTCCCTCAAAAATATAATCTTGACTTTTCCGTCGCCAAGCTAAATTCCAAGCAGTTTACTTCCTGTGGCTTTTCTGCATACAGTAAGAACTAAACAAGCAAATACTCTCATTATCACATTTTAATCATATACTCCAGAATTAGCGATACTCCTCTATCGAGCCTTTCCAATTACCACTGACGGCAATATGGTTTATTTGCGTCCTTCGATGGGTGAGTTTTTAGGGATTGTCATGTGGGAATGGTATCTCGAACAACATCTAAAATCGATGCTTGCTAAAAATAAGTGGTTGTTTGAGGATAGTTATAGCAGACGATTGCTGTTGTCTGTTTATTGAGTTGGAATACTGCAAAACATACCTGTCTTTCAAATTGATTTACATTAGCAACTTAGGTGCTAAAATGTTCTGGTACGGCTACTACGTCTGAGGGTTTGGCTTTTTGGAGGGTAGTAGAAGTCCTCCCATGAAAATTACTTTTTGCTTCATTCAAACTCCAGTCAGCATTAGAAGAGGTGAACAATAGGCAATGATGTGTTCATATCTTTCCAAGTTCTTACTATCCCGTTCAGTCGGACGGTGCATTAGTAACTGACGATTGGAATCCAGTTCAGGAGAGCCTGTTCCACGTTTAAACTCGATGTTATGTCTACACTAGCAAGGATATGAGAAGTCAGTCAGTCAGTAACAACGTGGCACCTCGAATGTATGTACATCGGTGTTGGTTGTCATGCCTCTTTAGCACAAGGTGTTGGTGATAGCAATAGTATGAGTGATGATTGAAAAGATTAGGGACAGAAGATACGATTCAAGAAAATGTAAATTTCTAAATAAAAAGAAACTGTGAGGAATTCAGAAGCTTAGAATTTGGCAGGAGACAAAGAATGGATGCAACTGAGTCACTGAAGACTATGAGGAATGCCATTCAAGACTCCAGACACAAAGAGGGCAAGTCGAACCGGTTTCTGCTTATTAGCTAGGTGAATCAGAGTAAATGGCTACAACCGGGTCTTGAGTGTATGTTTCGGAGACAGCACACTTTGATTGCACGCAGGTTCTAGTGATCTAGCTAAGAAAGACTGCTAGTAACTTGACGTAAGGTTCGAATGTTGAAAAGTTCAACATGTAGTTTAGAGTGCTGTTTCAACATACCATCAATAATATTTAGTGAACTACAGTCGTTAGCATTGGAGAAACGTGGTGAAAAAGACAAAGTTATAAGAGAAGGGTCGACAGTGGAGAAACAAAGTATGTTAAAGGTGAAGGGATTTTGTCACAAATAAGAGGATGTGAAGGTCAGTTGTAGATATGGAGGCTGTTATCTTACTCTTGTTACCCTCACTGTGAAAGGATATATCTTTGAAAAGGATCTGAAGAGGGAACTGGATTAGTAGTGGGAGAGTGACTGCTGAGTCTAATGAACAGCTGTTTAAGGCCATTAAAATACATCCTTTTTGCGAGAAATATTTGATGTATTAGATCAATACTTTTAAAGCCTTACTGTTGGAGATGGAAATCTGTAGTATAAGATGGTGTGACATTTTTAGGCTGAACTTTTCTTAGCCCTTCGTTCGTAGAATTGTTGTAGATGATAGTTTACATATACTACTGTATATTGTGTGAGGAATATAATGTAGCTTCATAGAGGAATTATGTGAAACAAGTTTAGGATATATTAATGACAAACTTACATGGTCAGTACTGCTCTTGGGTGGGAGTAACGGGTCTCGGTAACGATGATCAGGTGAATTTAAAATATTTGAAAAGTCTGTATTTGATGCTACAATGTTATCAGTAAAGAAGTCACCATGAGACGGGAAATTATCACCTTTATTTGTCTTGGACGTATTCATAGCAAAGAACTGCGCGGAAATCGGTACATCAAAGGAATAACTTCAGTTGTACAATTCTGAGTTTTGTTTCTTTTGATATGTTGCTTAATTGTAGGTAGTTTATCAGGAGAATCTTTATCAGAATCATAGCTGACCAATATTGTATCTACAAGTTGATAACGACTTGGTAAGCTAAAGTCCTCACGATACACATAAACATTACGAAGACAGCGTCGTGAAACTTGAAAAATGAACTCTTCATCTGGAAATCTAGCGCTTTTAAATATTTGATCGCGTAGGAAACATTCACGCTAAGAAAAATAAATCCGAAAGAGAAAAAAAGTTGTGAATAAGATAAAATAAAACACCAGTGACACACGGATATTAAATTCGATAGTAACTTTCATTATAAAAATGTTTTATTATACCATTAGAACATTTTCGAAGAAATGACTATTAGCTTATTTGTAATGGAATGGAACATTTTTTCACTAAACAAAATCCAAGGTAAAGGTAATTGTTTGGTCCCTTCTCACACTAAAGAATTAGCACAAATTAACACCGGGTAACTAGTCTTTATTGGTAACTGATATTAAGTGGTACAAATTAAGACAACCCGGAGAAGTAGAAAAATATTCACAGTTTTTAATATCAGTGGACTGAAACGCTAACAAAAGTAACAACGCGAGTCAGACAGAAAAATGTTTAAAGACAAACACACAAGAACGTGATTTGGTCATATGATCTGATAAAAAACTTATTTTACTTGTGATAAACAAAATCGTTAACAGATTGGATAGTGACTTCCAATCCCTAACAAACGTGATGTTAAGACCACACTAATAGAATCAGACAAGTGTATCCGAAATCCAATGTTTTAGATTGAATATGAACAAAATATCATACAAAACAAGTGATACCCAGAGGGTCTAGATCCATAAAAGTTCAGACAGGTTTACCTGTTAGAAAAGCCTACTATTATGTGATATAGTAAAAATAACAATGTTATAAAGTTATAATTACCAACCAGGCGTTCAATACCAACGACAGAATCATATAAGCAGTGAGAAAAATGATTTACAACATTGCTTTGACAGCAAACAATTAAAAAATAATGAATCAAAACATTTTGAGATGCTCACTTTGATGTAAGTGTGTAGAATTAATAGATATCCATAGAAACGTTGAATTATCATTAAACAAAAGTTCATCATGCAATATCGAAAACATTGTAAAAATATTTATAACATGATAAAGAAAATATTACCTTCAGATTATTTCGTCAAAAATGCAAGCCGCTCATAAATTTAGTGAGGTTTTAAAGAAAATAATTTAAAAAAGCTGTAGTTGTAATCTGTCCCAAAAGCATACTATGGAAAAATAACAAAGAAAAACTAAAACTAAACGAAACCTATTTGTTTCTTTTTATTAAAGTAAATATACAGAAAGTGACATCAACTAATAGTTTCATCAGATTAACTTAAAATGAAGAACCGTATAATGATTTTTAGGACAATTTCTACCCCCAAAAAAATGATTAACAGGAATTAATAAACATCACCACTGCTTACATCTTTTAAAAATGTTAAATCACGGCCAATTAAAAAAGCATAAGATTCTAAACCATTTGAAATGCACTTCGATAAAACGTATTCATGAATGTCCAACTTATGCTCCTAGTATAAAATGTAAAAGGAACCAAAAAAATAACAATAAAAAGGAATTCAGAGAAAACAATCATATTCGTCGATTAAATAAAAAGGAATCAAATCATGCTTCATGTATGAAATGATGCTGGAAAAGGACCAATTCTCGTCATTATAAACATAATTTACACACTATTACACTTGAAACTGTTTTGAACATGGATGATAGAGAAGCAGAGTTAACAGTATTGAGAAAAATATGCTAACTTATGTTATAATATTTATTTCACATAAAATTCCGAGAATCGGTTTCATAATAACTGGCACTGATTACCAGGGTGCTAATGCAAAATTAAAGAAACTAACTTGCATTCAACAAAATAAAACTCAATCTCAAGTGTAAATCACACTAGTAAATCAATAAAATGCGATTAACAATAAGAACAGTAACATTGTTTTGGTTTAACTCTGATAATCCAAACATACAAGTGAACGAAAAAACACATCGTATGTGTGTGTGTTTGACGGTACGATTTGCAGAAATATTGTTGTAATATATTCAATTAGTGAGAATATACACACGTTTACCGACTCAAAGTGACTTTAGAGCCATCTTCATATACAATAAACAAGTTTACTGAGCGTAGTTTATTTCATACATAATAGTATCATCTAAGAAAAACCAGTGAACAAAAAGCCCCGATTTTCTTTTTTAAAAGTAGTAATAACTTCAAACCATTGATAAAATAAGAAATCAGGTTTCATTTCAACTGCAGTATTTGTAAATCATCCCGATTACAACCAGAACTTAATTATATTCAAGCTTAATGCTAGTCGGTGGAGTGGTGATTCAGCATGATCATGCACTGGTAGAAAGAATGATATCAATCGACTTTGAAAAATTTCATTTTCATTATTGTCACAAAGGTGGCTTTGCGATACGCTATCTTCTGTATAGGCTCAATGCTAACAACAGTTACTATGTCAAAGACTGAAAGTTCCTGAGAGGGAAAAATGATGATCAACAGATTTCCATCGTTTATGTACATAAGTTTATATTGTTATTTTCATCATGTAAACAATTCGGCAGTATTCTATCTAACACATTTTGTACATATTTTCGAACATGAAACGACTTTTTCATAAAATCATCGAGTGAAATTATTAAGCTATTTAAAATACAAAATCTGACAGGCAAAAACCTACAGTTAATATAAGGGATCATATATTGGTACATCAATTTACCTGAAGGTATTCCGCCTTTGCATAATACCACTGTTTTGAACGCCATTTAGGAATATTAAATAAAACAGGATTGTTTAATTTTAAGTTCCGTTCATACGACTGACAGTATGACAGCCAATTTTGCATAAATAGTTCTTTAGCTTCTGTCACAATTAACTTGAATTTCGCTTCTTGAATTAATGGTTCAGCTGAATCAAAACAAGAAAACGTTTCCATTATGTCACAGTGATTACAGAGTATTTAAGAAAATAAGAGAATGACAATCTCACGGTTCCAATATGTTGACAATTTGAACTTATATTTACAGAACATAGTGTTTTATTAAGTACGTTTGACATAGCAAGATCGCTTGAAAAATCCTACCATCCCATACTGCTATCCAGGGAAAACTGAAGGATTCAATGGTAAAGGAATCATGCATAAAAAACCACGGGAATGCACATTCAAATCTCAATAATATTAATAGGAAAAACGAAGCATTCTAAAAGCAAAACACCGGAACAAATTCAAAATCATGCATTATCAGGAATCAATATAGAACGACATGTATACTTCGAAAGCGGCGATGCATATGGGTGTTAAGTGTATTAATATATAACCTAATGAGTAGAGTGCTAATCAGCAAAATCTAAGAGTCGGAAAAGATACAAATTAAAGTGTATTACCTATCCCTGGACTAATTTCATGCAACGCTTCACTTTGACGAATGGCATCAAATAGTCGTATTGCATACTGTTTCATACCATCCAGTAAAACTAACTGAAAGACAGAAAAGAAATACGAAAAAGAAAAACAATGGAATTATTAAGAGAACACAATAGCAAACAAATTAGTAATTTTGATATGTCTTAAATAACTAAAAATAGTAACCAACAACAAGAATTTTAGTTACATTCCCAGCAGAAATAGGAATATTGATTAAAGAAAACGATCGTAACTAGCTACTCGAAACAAAATAGATGAAAGGAGATATGTAAATGAATTGACATCAGTTCCATACAGATCTCAGGCAACAATAGAACGGGTGATATTGAAAAACCATCAGTACACCCGGATTAGAGTATCATTTACGGTGCAGTATAAAGTTATACCAATTTGCGTCGGCAAATATAAACTCATAGGTACATTTCGTAGAATGAAATGGTGGAATTCAATGGATGAAAATTCTTTATAAATGTAGTAATATTGACATATGTATCTACTATCCAACATTAAGCATATCAGATTCCTAATGAATAATCTCTGAACATAAATTTTCGAGGTTGAATAAATGTGAGCAGACAAAAGATTTCCGTCAAATTAGGGCTGATAAAATCTACGACACCCTTAACTAAATTAATAAAATTTGATTTTCTACAAATATAATACTAAATACAACTCTAAATCAGGATCTGATCATAAAACGGAGAGAGATATTTTGCACTATGGACTAAATAAACTACTAGAAACTACGAAAAAGCAAATAATTATGGTATCTGTACGATTTCGGTTCACTTTTATAGCTCCAAACTAACATAACGAACATCTTGCTCTTATGATATGAACCCGAAGTGCAATCTTCTCCTCTTTAAACACTAATTACACCATAAATTCCCAATTATTCTCAGAATGATTGACAGTCAACTCTTTAAATTACTAAAACTGTGGTATATTGGAACCTTAAATGCATAATAAGACAGGGGACGAAGTACATTGTGATTGTCAGTATAGAGATTTCCAACGGTGGTCTAACATCAATCGGTTCATGATCTCAAACAAAAACTTAATAATCTCCACAACCTCTATACTGATAATTAACATGTGCTCACTAGTGAATAGCTTCGTGAGGAAATTCTTGGAGTTCTAGTGAGAAGCCGTGACCAGTGGAGCTAATCTGTGTCGGGTAGAGACAGGTATCTACCTCAGTACAATTGAAGATGGTCGCGCAATTTCGTGGATTGGTTGATGTTAGACACTAACACCATTGGATGCCGGTTCAATGGTCCAGTAGGTCAAGTGTTCGCGAGCGAGAGTGAAGACCCTAAGTTCGAATCCCGCAAGCGGGATCGTGAATACGCACTGCTGAGGAATCCCACAATAGGACGAAACGGCCGTCCAGTGCTTCCAGGTTTCCAATGGTGGTTTAACATCAATCGGTTCATGATTTCAATCAAATACATTGTGATTATTCAATCTTTGAAAGTTATAATAGCTCTACGACATGATACATAATTGAGATCATATAATTTACCGATGATCATAACAGATAAGAACAGCTTAATTCAATTAATAATTAACTAATAATTTAATTTATCTCATTTATTATTTAAAGTAGAACACTGTAATAATTTCCTTAGTGAATAACACTTTCCTTTTTTTTTCATTGTAAGCTAACAGGATGAATCATCATAATAAGAACTGTCTTTTTCATGAATAGATAAACATAACAAATTACACGTTATCCAACTAACTGAATTGATTTATGCTTTAATACAGTCCTCATTAATTATACACAACTTAAATGTAAATAAACACTTTATTAGACCATAATAAATAATAGACATTACAAATAGCAAAATCAATTATATCCATTAGCTTCAAATAAATAACAATCCTAAATGCTTCGACAAAACTCATTTGCAAAACTATTCAGTATGCTTCTAGAATGTGAATATGTAACATTAATTTCATCTCTTGATATATTTCATATACAATGTTATCTTTAATTATATTCGTTAAAAATAATTGTTTTATTATGGTTTTATAATATAACTATTATGTATAGTAATGGCGAACTGATGTAAATCAGTCTCATCTAACTATCTTGCCCTGTACTAATCATTTCAAAAATATCATGAAATGACTAGCCAAACAACTACTATTGAAAACCAGGGGTAACTATCTCGTCCTAGTACGAGACAATTCAGTAAGGCTAGTAGCGAGCGTGTTAACTACAGATCGCTGATTTAACGTTGAATGTAAAACATTATCATATTTTTTATTTAAGTCGATTAGTGATGTAAACTATCTTCACAAAGTTGACATCCTATTAATAACGATTTCACTCAAGAACTATGATAGTAACGAAATACACTATCTTCTGTTTATTTTGTATGATAAATAAGACTTTAAATGTCTATAAAAAAAATCGATTACTGTGAAAACAGAATAAGGTTTTCTTTATTTATCCACCTAGTATTCTTTATTAGGTGGATAAATAAGTTGAAATTTGTACCCTAATCTGAAAGTACGTACTGGAATAAGAAATATCCATCCCATGGTTAGACATATGAACTTGAAATAACGATTGAAAATTAACGATTGTCTTACTTTATAGAGTTCTAGGAGAGCATTTCATTTTCACTGTATTTAGATAGATTTATGAATTCTTAAATATCGCTGAACAGATTTAGAGTAGCATCTTTTAGATTTATACACTTTAAACAGAAACTTCTTTTGTATCAAACAGTACACTTTGTTATACAAACGAAAAGAAATAAAGAGCTGAATATCAGGAAAAGATTGAATATGATTCATGCTATATGAAGAAAATTCTCAGTGTCTTATGTTTGCGAAATATGATAATACCTTTCCACAAACCCATAACTTTGAGCCTTAAAACTATTCTTAAGATGGCTGAATTCCGTCTACAATAACTACCTGGATAGACAGATAGCTGGATTTTATAATTGCCACTTATTACGACAGTTTTTATTACATTATTTTACCCTTAAATTATGCAACTACTCTTATATAGCCCACAGAAAAGTACTTAAAATATATCGTTCCTTTCATCCATTAGTGTTCGACGAGGAAGATTTAATGCATTCTTACAGTATATTTTGAGTAATCAGATTACATCTAATCTTTCTTTAAAAAATAAAAGACGAAAATGGAACAAAGACAAACTACATAATATTGCTAGTAGGACATACAAAGCCAAATTAACAAAATGAACCTTTTCGTTTGAATAAGATTTTGAAAGGAAACTATAAATGCAGATTCAGCATGAAAATATTAAATTTAACACATTAAATGAATCCACATTTATGTATGACTACAGCATAAATTATTGCCATTAACTACTGGTGGTTATCTGAGCTTACTGGCATTATTCAGACACAAGAATGGCAAATTACAACAGTGATATAGACCTTAACAACTGGGAAAAAAATCTCTTCAAGTGCCATAAGATTGATATTGTTGAAAGTATTTAGCCTCATTTGCAACCAACATTCACAAACTATGTGAAAATACGAACTTAATTATACACCACATATATGTTCTAGTATAACATTCGACTCCATTTCAGAACATGCATTTCGCAATAGAAAATACATTCCAAAGTAGAGATAGGATCTAATAACAGTGAATAAAGGTTTATTTGGAAACTTTCTATCATAAGTTTCTTTTTCTACAAAACACTGCAATAAGTATAAACGAAATATAAATTATCCTGTCTGTTAGATAAATATAACAATGAGTAATTAAAATTTCACATCCGAAGTATTCACTTGTACTTATGCCTACCTCATCAAGAAGTGATCGCGCAACCAAATAAAACGAGCTAATTTAATTTGATATATACACCAAGATGGTTCGATTTTTGACTTGAAAAAGGCAGTAGCCAAAGAATTCTGTGTTTGATTATAATACGAAGATAATTAAAACTAAATCGAAATTGAACTGATCTTCATGACTAATCAACGTATTAATCGTAGACTCATTGGTGGCTAACGTGGAAATGAATCTCCGAAATTGCACTAAGAAGCTATGACTAGTAGAGATAAACAACGTCGATGACACTAAATGATCGTTGCGCTTCATCACGAAATGAATAAAAGTGGGAATACGGATCACAGAATCTCATTGCTCTTAAATTAACGCGTTCACAGAAAGACCTGAGGGTTCATGGTTCAACTATTGATTGAGTTATGGATGTACACTCCACAGAATTCCCAAACCAAAACAGAATACCTCTCCAGTGTTCTCTAAATTTCAACAGTTTTTAAAATGAACTTAGTCTGTGATCCAATTCATCTAGGAATGGTAGTTATAATATGGAAATCATTATCAGTTATGTTTACGTTATCATGATAATCCTTACCACTAAGATTTTTGGTGCTTATTAAAATAACAATGACAATCTCATGTTAACACTACTTACCCTTTTAACTTCAGATACTGATTTCTTTTCATCTACAGAGTAAAATTACAATAAATGACAATTCTGAGAACATAATTTAACTTCATAAAACAAAATTATAAATTGACAAAGACTATTCGACAAGTAAATGGCTGTCTGGTGAAGGCGATAGAATATGACGTAGCTAAAGAAGGATCCACGAGACTACAGGAATATACTGTGAAACAATAATTGCGAAATTGTATATAATAACAGCTACTAGCTGATTCACAGTAGTTTGAGTATCGGATAACTGATCCACTTTTACGTGTCTGACTTTGGTCAGTTGGCTTAGTTATAACAGGAATTTAATTATTCACGTCACTATCTTTCATAAAGGAATAAAATTTTGCGGGCATTTTTGCTATCCTGAACAAATCAGCTTCTTTAAACTAGTAGAGCACAAATACACTGGCGGTAAACCTGGTTCATTGTGACCTATATAACTTTGTCTACCCTAAATTACTTTACTGCTTGAAAATGTATTTACGTTTTTGCTAAACAAAACACAATTGATTAGTGAGAAAACAACAAAAGTGAAAGAAAAGTTTATAAAAGAATGTCTAAAAATAATATTTAACAAAAGCCATTACTGGCAGGTTAAATCAAGTGCACAATTTAAATAAATATTTCATAAATACTAAAAACAAGATAAAACAAGTAACAATATTCATGATAGGCAGAAACAAATGCGCACATAACCGTACTTCTAACGATGCTGATGAAAACAGATCGAAATTAAGTGTTGTATCTCAAACCTTTTGAAAAATTTACTATTTGTATTTAATAAAAGTTTCGTGTGAATAGCTTGAAAGTCATATGCATAAATATTTTACGAAACCAAGGTGATCGATATATCAGTAGACTTTCGAAGTAATACCTAACCGATATGAAAGCGCGGACTGCACTGATCAACAATTATGACAGCTACCCTCCCTCTTCGATCCACCAACACATTGAAATATCAAAGGATAACACGTGGGATGTGAATACAAGGAACTATTACTTAGCACGATTAGAACCCTTTAGAAATATCTTAAACCAGATTGACACTATAGTGGGGAAGCACTTGAGTGAATCACGTCAATCAACCTAGTAACAAGATTAATTCATATCACATAGCAGCATGAATCAAAATCTGAAGAAGAGGAACTAATTCAACATTATAAACCAATAACGTCTAATTAGACCATTTCCTATCGCTAAGTAGTGATTTGGTGTTAACAAATAAGAGTTACTAAACATTGATCTAATCTTTATGTTGGGGGTCAACAAGAAGGGCGGAATCATTCCGTATGTTATCTTTTAATAAGGAACATTTAAAACTGGTTTTGACAATACATATACAATTTTAGTTAGCTTGATTTCTAATTAAATATCTGAAGAATAATTCACAATTATTATTTAACATCAGTTGTATAAAAAAATATTCGAGTTAACTGAAGATAAATGTAAATTGAAGCTTGCAATTTGTTTTCGCATTTGTTTTTCATTTGATGAAGTCAATAACATTTTCATAACTTAACAAATAGAACTAATAACTACATTTTCTCTGAAGTCTGAAATTTTAACATTGCACTAGTCTACACCAACATTATTTAAACATCAACTGTGATGAAGTTAATTTCTTGGCTCTTTGTCTATTGTGTATGAAGACAAAATAAAGCAATTTTAAATGAAAATGAATGGAGAATTGTATTTCGTGTTACATGCATCTTTATTTCTGTAAACAGCAAAATATATCATGTGAGTAATTGACAGTTTTTAAGACAGAAATAAGACTTGATATAAAGTAAATTATAGTTCACATGAAATGCGAATACAAAATCTGAAGCTTAAAACTCAATTCCGATGTAAGTGTTAAAGATCGAAAAATGGAAGGTATTTTCTTGGAAATACAAACTTCAAATAAAAATAGTTTAACAGTAGTATTTTCAAATAAAGTGAAAAGAACAAAATTTTTTGGAGTAACATAAATTCACTACAGTTCAAGGCTTCTCATCAGCTACAAATGCGGCCTAAACTTTCATTGTAAAAGTATTATAAAATGTTTTCAACATCGTAGTCTATTTCGAAACAACATGAGAAACAAGAAGAGGAAGAAACACATCTAACATAATAGTTAAGATTAATTAGTATTCATATGTTAAAGGTGAACTCATATAAGAAAGGAGGTGAAGTTATAGACCATAATAAAGAGACTATGAATAAAAACAAATTAATGGAAATCGAGGCACCTAGTTGACATGAAATTAAGGTTAACGTCGTGAGTGAATGTCTGTGGAATTTGTCTTACTTTAAGTTATAAAGTATAATGGAGAGATAATGTAATTAACAAACATCAAAATAATGGAGCCACCTTAAAATGGTAATAAGAGGTTTATCACAACTTTATTCTGTGTACAAAGGTCGCGTCGGAAGCATCTGATGGCAATGACCTCTGCGAAGCGGAGTAAAAGTATTCACTGTATTTTTGATAATATTCAACGCTTTTGTTACCATTATCAATTAAATGTTTAGTGATCTCATTTATGAATAATTCTTTCCAAAAAAAACTTTCGCGGAATATAATCAGCAAATCGTGTAGATGTCCCTCTTTCAATCTTTCTTATATACCTCCTTCCGTAAGCACATGTACATCTGTAAATACATTTGGAGTTGACCTCACAAGGGTATCGATCCACAGAGATTAGTTTAGGGACATTTGGTATTAGACACTAAAAATAGTTGGGCTGCAGGAAGGCCTATTTTCAGCGCTAATTCAATTGTTTTGACGATTTCACCTGAAACCTCCGCAGCTTTCTTTAACCACAAGATAGATGAAAACAAGCTTTTTGTCAACAGTTGTCTGTTTGTAACTTTTCGCAAACGTTTTTACGCACTTCATAATAAATTTCTTTTCATGTTCAATATATCATATTTCATGAATTTTTTCGATTAAATACAACCTTCTACCTCTGTTAAACAGGTTTTTAATTAAACTGCGTTTGTAAGTAACAGGCAAAAATCAGTCATAATTTAGGTACTACCCCAACCATATTTCTTTCCTGAGTATGGTCCAGTCGGTTGATTTATTGCTCCGTCGTTCTATTTCTGACGAATCTGTTAAGTATATAGTGGACTGTTGAAGTCGCAGAAGATTTCAATAAGAAATTTCGATCTCAAGAATCCATCGCTTATTTGACGCACGGAATCAAATCAGCCTATTAAAATATTTGAAAAGAAATCAACAGTTAACTCCAAGTGTCCTCTAGTGTTCCCGATTCGCTTGATGCTGCTCCAAATTTTTGAAACTAATGTTAGTAAACTAATTCCATTATGAACTTAAAAAAATAACGAAAACTGATATCTCACCCAAACTTTGTACTTGTTACTAATGTTAATTATTTTAGTCACTTTTTTATTTCTATATACCTTTAAAGTCCGATGATATTGTAATTTTATTGAAATCACGAACTGATTTAAGTTAGACAACCACTGAATATTAGGAAGTACTGGACAGGAATATTCATTGTGAGAAGCCGTGACCGATGGAGACCGACCGTACTGATTGCGAGGAAGACACTTACTGACGATGTAAGATCGTGCAATACCGTGAACTGGAGTCAGATTTGCACAAAATTGGATAACGGATAATTGGTCTAAAGGTTAGGCGTTCATAAACGAGACCGAAGGTCTTGAGGTCGAGTCCCAGTTGTGGAATTGTGGATGCGCAACGCAGAGTCCCACACTAGGACGAAACAGCTGTCTAGTGCTTCAGGGTTTCCAACGGTTGCCTAACATAGATCGGTTTGTACTGTCAATGAAATTCAGAAACTTTCACAACTCCATACTAATGGATATTATAACTGTTGTTGTAAATGATATTGTTTATTGTCCTTTTATCATTGTTTTTTTCACCTTTTGTGTGAATAAATAAACATTCTATTAATGACCCAATTTCCTAACATATTATTTCCAAGACGTGAACTCTGCATCTGGAAAATCCCAAGTGTCGTTATAATTATACAATGAATAAACAACTATTTGCTCACGTCATGAAAGTAAATGAAACCAACTTAATATAAAACCAAATCAGATAAACGGGAATAAGCATTACTGCCCTAGCTGGGATGCTCGTGAGCAAAGGGCTCACCACTTTGATTGCTCCGGCTAACCACATAAAATGACGACGGATGAAATATGTAACTTTACTTGCTTTGTAAATATTCTTGAAGTTCATCATGTACAAATGGCAGGAGCAATAGTTGTTTAGACTAAAAACAACCAAAGCTATGCATCCAGAGGAAATGCATTCAGTCTCTTTTTTGCCGTAGTTAACCTCAGGCCCAACAAAGACAATGGTCATTTTAGTTATATGATTACCCTATTTGACCAAGCTACATATATTTTCAAACCTTAAATTTCTTTTATGCAACTACTATTTTTAGTGGCACTGTTATCCCACATTTTTTTGTTTATTATTATTATTATTATTATTATTATTATTATTATTATTATTAACCTTGTACACACACCGAGAATTCAATAAGGACTCACTCCATTTTACTATTTCCTAACCAGTTCATATCATTTGATATATTATGAAATATTCAAGCAAACACTTGATCTGACTTAGACACTCTTAGGTTATCAATAATTGTTCTGATTGATAACCTCACAATTTCGTTTAACCCATAAAGTTAATCAAGTTAGTATTGCATACCAGCCATTTCGGAATTTTATCTACATTCATTTTGACTGTTATTCTCATAATTCCAATTGACCCATAAGGTTAGTTGAATTGACATTTCACATTAATCATTTCAATTTTCGGATAATTCAATAAGATGAGGATTGTCAAAACTATGTGATATATCACATAGTTTCGATAAACTTCGTCTTTTTATTACATTATCCAAATTGAGGAAAAGGACTAATTGTTTTACATTTCAATATTGACATTTTTATTGTTTCTTACAAACAATTCTAAGTTCGAAAGCTGTAATTTTAAAAGATCAGTTTGCCTTAAACTTGGCTATCCCCTTTGCAACATTAACTTGGACTTGTAACTATAGAAATTAATGAGCGATTATAGAAAGGAATATCTTTGGTTAAATAAAATGGAAATTTCTAGACTTTTAGAATGAACAGATGTAAGCTTCACATATTGTTTTAGACTACGGACACAGTCAGTGGTAAAGAAAATACAAAAAAACTTAAATACACAGCGTAAAAGACGACATATTCCTTGACTGAGGTTACTAAAACAAACATCAAATACACCCACCATCTCATGGAATCCACTGATGGGCAATTAAAAAGAGAAGTAAAGGTTAAATGATTGGAAAACAACCAGACTATATTCAGCAACAGATAACTACTACTAATCAAAAACAAGTCAGAAGTGTATGAAGAATTATCCCCTAATAATGATATACCACAATAAATTGATTGACGTGAGAACAGTTTACACAAACCCACTTCAACCGAAGAACTTGAAATCAAAGAGCACTTGAGACGTGTTAGATACTAGTTTGAAACTTTTAAAAGAGGTTAATCTCTTATATTTTTACTTGATCAAACTTACAAAATATGACACCAGGACACAAATCATGTTTGAAAACACTTATATATCCAGAACCACTTTCAAGAGTTCTGCTTAAATTATTACACTATCTAAAAGGTCTTTCAATTCATACAAAATATAAATCATTTTCATTTTTTAAGCTATAAACTGTACTCCACAAAGTCATTAAATATTTGCATTACCTCTAAACTGTGAGACAGAATATTCTTTAAAATCTTGGAACCAATCTTCTCGCACTGAATTCTCCAAATCTCCAATCACATGTAAACAGCGTTCAAGCAGAACGGGATCATGAAGACGAAGATCAACTGAGACACGATTTGGTGTTAAAAATCGATACGGTAACGGAATGTTTTCTGGAATTTCCTATAGTACAAGCCAAATAAGTGAATGGAGGAAACTATAACATGCATATATGTATATAATTATTATCAAACGTTCTAAAGTTATCGCCATGATATATATATATAAGACTCTTAACGGTGTCATATAATGGATCGCACTTTTACGAAAGGGAGTAAAAATAATTTTTTTAGATAAAATTAGAAAATTCATTTTTAAAGCAGAAGCTGTTAGGTAGTATTGCCGAAAAAAATGGATTAACCGCAAACAGACGAACGCTAAACTAAGATGGACAAATGAATCAGAACCAGTAGAGAAATTTATAGGGATGTATTCTTTCTAGTTGTACATCAGTTAACATACAGGGAATTGTTAAAATCTTTGAGGTATGGACCTCAAAACAAAATGCTTCTTAAATCTAAAGAGAATTACATCTTCGGTCTATTTAGTCATTACACTACACATAATTCATCATAAGTAGACTCACTCGTAGATGAAGTACACGTGTATTTCGCCCGATGCAAGACTCGTTACTTGGTTATAGCTCCAAACTAGTGAGTCACATATTCCAAAAATATGTATGTAAGAAAAGACTAAATAAAGACAACCATACAAAGATTTCATATGTCGCGGTAGGAAATCTTCAGTTTTACTAAACCTAATCAACCACCTGTTTAATATCTTATTCAATAAGTAAAAGAACGTGCTTGTATAAAACTGAAACTGTTTACCTCATTTATTTATTTTAGAGGAACTATTCAAATCTGTTTCAAAAGTAACACATCTTCATATACACAATACACATGAATAAGGAACGGAATCGAGATTATTTAGTACATAACAGTAAACTATTCTATATTTCATAACACCGAGCAGCTATAATTTAGTATCCCGAAAGTAAAACATTCGTATGTTACACAGTTTAAGTGAGATCATGTTCCTTCAAAAAAAGGATGTTGTTTTTCCTTGAGTTTTTTTTTACTGGAAACATATATTTTACAGCTAATCCACCTCATTTAGATTTAAGAAAACACAAAATGTTTTCTTTTTCATCCGATGAAAAAAGAAATGTATACCATACATACCACAAGCTAATTCAAGGTCCTATGATAAGTTATTTGTTATGAACGTTTTTATTTTACTTTGGTCTGTTCGTACATCAGTGGTTTTAAAAGATTTAAAAATCAAGTACAATCAAAATCTTTACGTTAATTATTAAATGAACAAACATGTCAAGCAAAGTGGGTAATACATCATTCATTACACTTAAAGACTGGAAATAATTCTCAGCAATCATTAATGATGGTATGATATGATTCAGGCAGAAATGTGACTGAAAGATCACCCACTGTTAGCTGTAATGATATATATCTATAGCGAAGTCCAAAATACGAATAATGGAAGATACTTCTGACACGATACTGGATTTTACGTGACTGGATAGATCGACGTCTAATGCATAACGACATGTTAACGATGAAAATCGTATATCAGTAAAATTAGAGAAGACAAGACTTTAAAAGAGAACTTTTATGAACCAAGAAAAGACGAATAAACAAGTGAACATCTCAGTATATATGGTAACAGACAAGATAAAATACTCAACAGAGTGAGGTGTCACGCGTGGAACACCGGGGCGCGAAAGGTCATTACTGTGCTAACCTCAACAGATGATTATAATAATAATTCATTGGATCAATGCCAACACTAACCGATCTAATTAGTACAAAAACTGATATTTGTCGGCTGACATTTTTCTACCACAGCAGTCACAATCGTTGGTCTTGGACGGATAAGTCCTAACGAAGGAACTTAATGAAAAACCAATTAACAATGAGAAATTTCGACTCAGACCGTTTGATTGGTACACTATACAAATAAAATAACTAAGATCGGTTATCTTAAATTATAAAGATAAAAACTAAACTTCGTACTGGGGAATAATAACAATAAAATTTTCAAATGAATCCAACATGTTTTACTGTCCATGTTTTGCGTTTATTTTAAGTAGTATACGAATCTGTACAAGCATACATCAATTCAATTACTTATTTTCTTATAGTTTTGAGTGATTTCAGATGAATAGAATTATTTCAAGAGAATTTAATTCAAAATAAAAGTGAAGTATTAACAAAACGATGATGATGTTCATGACTTCTGTTAACCGAAAAAATCATTTACCCATTTTATTGATCGCCTAGTTGACCAAATTACATAAACAAGGTTACAGGCATTCACATACACACCGGTTTTGTGCATACATGTATCATCATGACGGTGACTACGACAACAATGACAACAAAGATAAAATTGACCAGTTATTTGGTATAATCCCCTAGAATAGCTAAAAAGTTAGTTTTTTTCAAATTATCTAGTCATTCTCGCGAAATTTCTATCGATCAACTAATGTGGTAACAAACAACCCGATTGCTTTTTCCTGACTTTAAGACTGGGAAAACTGAATGGTAAGCCTGATCACATAATCAGCCATTAGTTAGTGTGAAATAACGAGATAAAACTTATTTTTTGATTAAAAAGCACAAACTTAGGTTATTGCAACAGTAAGAAGACATATTCAGTATGATACAGGAAACTAGTAATATTATTTATTTACATCAATTAACTGCCCATTAATTTACACTGTGTACATGAGAATGAATTATTAAATAGCTTATAATTTAACAACAATCTCTTAAAGTTAGAAATAATGATTGCAAGAAGATAGCTTTTACCAAAAAGATGAACATAGAATACTGAGAAAATAGACCTTGTTGAGGAATCTGATTGTTAAGAAATATCTGTTAATATCACTATTTCTACAACTTGACAAAGTTAATAAACATTAGCAACTCACCACATGAATGCTGAAATAATGGTACTAGGTGAAATTCGAATATGGATGGGAAACAGTTCACCTATAATAATAGGTTTTGCAAGGAAATGAGATGCAAAGTAATCAGTACATTGTTAGCGTTCCTGATGTAGAATCCGGTCATCCACTATGGTATACATGGACGAGTGTTTATGCTTGCTATGCCTTGAATGCACAAGCATTATCGCTTTTTATTTCACGTTGAATATCATGGTCTCTCAATGTTTCCTTCGTAAATACAAGCTGATTTCAAAAAAGTTAAAATGTATGCGAATATATGAAGTCACCCGTTTTATTTAGCAATGGGAATACAACCCCTATCTTAAATATGAAAGTTTCCAGAACAAAATAAGTGCTTTTCTTAGAACAGATAGGCACATATAACCCTTATCCGGACAACAGTTCTACCAATAGTTTTCAGTCCTATGTGTATGTGATTGGTCAGGTAAGCAACGTGAAGGTCAAGAAATATAATCAGATTGTCCCAACTACGTAATAAGGGCACAGAAAATATTCCAAGTCTTTATAAGTGAATTACATAGTCTGTAAAAAATGAAACAATGAATAAAAAGATTATGGAAGCGGGATTTGATAAAATTTCTTGCTTTATTATCACTCAAAATTCACCACTCCGTACATAAACCAACAACCAACAGTGCGGAAATTCGTACTTTTGCTCCTAATCCGAGTTAAATCCACGATTAAAAAGTAACTATTAAGTGCAAAGGAATTTTAGCTTAAAGTATAATAGCGTTCGTTGTAATAAATGCTAATGCTTGAATAAAGGCGTTATATTACTCGGTCGCCATCAAAATTGTGAAAGTTCAATTTTTAAGCAGTTAACAATCGTCCAAAATCCACCCACTAGGTGAGCACAAATTTCTGCTGCATCATCTAAGAGCTTAGGGTTAGAAAAAAATCCTGTGCGACGATTAATATACTTTCAACAAAATTCTAGATTTTGATATGGTCTTTCTCCAATGCCATCATAACCATCTGAAAATATTTAGAAATTCTGAACTATAGCTGAAAAATTATCATATCAAAAACAATATTTACCTATCCCTGCTGACGTGATTAAACAATAGTAATTTAGATCAAAACATTTTAAAAAAAGTATTAGCATTATGACTCACCTCACACTTTCCAAAAGGTAATTTATTTAGATGTTCGCAGATACTCCAAAAGTCTAGTACTTTTTTCTTTGACTGGACTATAAGAATAACAGAATTTTTAAAAACTTAGTGCTAGATATGGTATTGAGCATTAGAAATAAAGTGCCTACTAAATGATCACGTAATAAAAGTTTATGTACTCAAAACTCATACTGAAATTGTTGAATGAACACCATTTCTAGAAAGATGAATCGCAAGACAGAGCTTTAAGGCGATTTGTTAAATTAAATAAACCTGTTACTCCTTATGAATCACAGATCGCCAAGGAGATGGTGGAGAAGATTTGTAGCTCAGGTGGATGATTTTGGTGGAGTTTTGTTCTCTGAGCTGGATGGTTTGGTCGTGGAGCTTTCATCGTCCTTCTGAACGACATCATCAGCACAAACTTCAAATAGAAGTGAAGCGTTTGATTTTCTCCATATGTGTTCCAAAGCTTGCTCAGTGCACCTCGATGTTGATTGGTTCTTATTGACCTCTAATTCGTCATTGTTTACTTCTTTGTTTTGGTTGTGTCTCCCATTGTTTTGATTTTTGTTCTTATGTTTGTGCATGATTTTTCTGATTGGTTGATAAATTGGGTTGATTTCAATATGCTTGTTGATTGCTGATTGACCTGAGTGCCCGGCTTCTAAAAATTCTCTGGTGTTTTTGGAGTTTCCTCTGTCTAAGATTTCCACATTTTTCCAATCGAATGAATGTCCACAGTTGTCCACGTGTATTGATATAAGTGAGGAGATATCATGCCGTTTGACTGCTAATTGATGTTCATGTATGCGCAGGTGAAGGGGGCGTCCGCTTTGTCCAATGTAGTGTTTTTCGCAGTTGGCACAATTTATTTTGTAGATGATGTTTGATTTGTTTTCCTTTGTTATTTCATCTTTTGGTCTGCATAGGATTGATTATAGTGATTTTGTCGGTTTGTGTACTACACCTATTCCGATGGTTTTCAGCAGCTTCATACAAGTTCCACATAACGATGAGTTTGTTAGCATCCCAAGGGAAACTGCGTCAAACCTTTGCAGAGTTGCTTATCCAATTGTCCAGTACTTCTTCAGCTTCGAACTTAGTTCAGCCAACACCAGGTGGTTTCCAGTTAACATTTTTCAGTGAATTCCTTGTTTACTGGATGAGGTTGCTAACCCCGTGCCTAACCCTCCTCATGTACCCAGGGCTTGTGACCGGTAGTAACTCGGAAAGAAATCCAGGTGATGGTGTTCTGAAGTCATACCAGCTCCTCACATTATTTTTAACTCCATATGAATTTTTTATTGATACAGATGTGGTCAATCTGGTTCCTCCAAGTTAGCCCTTTTTATTTGTTTTGAAAGATGTTTTAATCATCCTGGAGCCGTGAAATTCACATCCTATGGGCGCTGTTCGTGTTTCTTTAAACAGTATTAGTGTAAGTCCTTGTGCGTGCGAGGTATTTCTTCTTCATCACCAGAATACAGCAACACCTCACTCGAACCTAGCCTCTTTTGTTCAATTTGTATTAAATGTGTTTTACTTATCCCAACCACAGCAAGGTTGTACTTTCGCATCTTTCCTTCTACTTGAGTAATTCCCCCCGGTCTTCGACATTTTTCAAGCATTCAAAATGGGTGTCAGCATCATGGCCTTTGAATCATCTCGGCTTTCACAACGCAGCGTTACAACTCTTCTATATGAAAACTCTTCAACCATTAGGGTAGAGTTTAAACGGCTTAAATTATTTTTCTGATTGATGTTTTTTACAGTGGTTCATTTTACTGGGTGAGGTTGTTAACCATGTACTTGACCCTCCTTTACTCGAGTTTGGAACGGGGTGGAGTTTATTTGTGGTGTACTGCATTTTTACAACAATTCACGATAAAAAGAGGTACCACACGATTTCTGAGTAACCAGTAGCTCTAGATTTATTTTTATTGTATCACATGTGTCTTGACGAAATATCCAATATACTACTGAATATTACTCCGTCAAGTGTGATAACTACTAGTGATATGACGTGATATCGAACAAAGAGCAAACAGAAGCTTACTTACTTACTTACGCCTGTTACTCCCAATGGAGCATAGGCCGCCGACCAGCATTCTCCAACCCACTCTGTCCTGTTCTAGTTCTATCCAATTCTTGTTCATTTTTCTCATGTCTGTCTCCATTTCCCGGCGTACTGTGTTCTTTGGTCTTTCTCTCCTCCTTTGGCCTTGAGGATTACATGTGAGGGCCTGTCTTGTGACGCAGTTGGGTGCTTTCCTCAATGTGTGTCCTATCCACTTCCAGCGCTTCTTCCTGGTTTCTTCCTCCGCTAGGATCTGGTTTGTTCTTTCCCATAGTAGTTTGTTGCTGATAGTGTCTGGCCAACGGATCCGAATTATTTTGCGTAGACAGCTGTTAATAAACACTCGTATTTTCTGGATGATGGCTTTCGTTGTTCTCCAAGTTTCCGCCCCATACAGTAGAACTGTCTTGACATTTGTATTGAAAATCCTGACCTTTGTGTTGGTTGACAGTTGTTTTGAGTTCCAGACGTTCCTCAGTTGTAAATATGCTGCTCTTGATTTCCCAACCCGCGCCTTCACATCTGCATCAGATCCACCGTGTTCATCAGTAATGCTGCCCAGATATGTAAAGACTTTTACATCTTCCAAATCTTTCCGTCAAGTGTGATTCGATTGTTACATGCTGTGTTGTATCGGAGCAAATAGAAACAATGATTGAAAATGCCCTACTCTTTCAACGTTAAGTCTACTGCAGTATATTTAGGTTTTATACCATTTTTACCCGTTTTCCCCATGCTGGACACAACACACAAGTATTAACAGTCTTTTTCAATATTTTAGTGCCAGTTTATATATAGCTACCGCAGTATCTTAAGGATCTTGAGAATGTTATTTAGTAAGCTGAGAGTAATACTAGAGATCTCAGTTACCCTCAGTCAACCAATTATTTATGATTAACGAATTACCTGACACAAGTAAGCATCAGCACAGAAGTGAAATCGACAAGAAAAACAACGAAAGAGTTGAAACAATAATGGTGAAAATGATATTAAGAAAGACAACATAGGGAATATGGTTGGTTGATAACAGAATGTATAAATAAATATTGAAACGCAAGCTTTAGAGGAAGATAATGAGTAAATGAAATTGAGATACTGAAATCAGTCTTGACCCAAGTTGTCTGGCCTCATAATAATCCTTTCATTCAAAAACCAACGTTTAGCAGCCAAAACGTAAAACTACTGCATAGCATATTTTGCCTCTGATAGGTAAGGAAGATATCTTGCCTATCCGATAGGTGGAGTGGGCTTTTTGCATTTGTCCAGTGATTTCGTGACTCACTAGTGCACCACGGCTAATGAAACTTTTAAGATAATTTAAGTGGTCAACGTACTCGACAATTGTACAATTTTCTTAAATTAGTTATTGACGGACATCAGTCATAAGGAATTACTCCATTGTTACTCAAAGTATGTAGAAGAGCTCCACTAGTAAGAATTTTCTGATTCCGATGACAATTAGCTATAAGCTCTGACTCGACCAGAAGTATTCGAGTAGAGAGCCTGTACAAGGTTAATGTACTTCTTCGATACGCCTTTCAATGACAGGCACTGGTGCAGAACCTAATGATCAACAAAGTCGAACTCTGCCTTAATGACAAGGAATACAACTGTAGTACGACGTCGAAAGGTATGTCTATGTTCTAGAATCTGCTGAAGGGTAAATGTTTGGTCTATACATTCATGTACAGATGTGGACCAGTCTGGTTTTCTCAGACTCACTTTCTAAGAGCTATAATTAGACATCGAAGTATTATTGAGGCTAATATTTTAGATATTGTATTAGTTAAACTGGTTCCTCTGTGATTATCACAAGACGATTTTTGTCCTTTCTTATAAACTGGGACGACCGGCGATCAAGACCAGTCAGATGGGATCACGTCCTGTTCCAAGATTCAGTTGATCTTAGTGCTAAAACTTGACCACCATCCTTAAAAATTTAAGGGGTTAATTCATCAAGCCCTGTTGCTCTCCCTCACTTTAGATTACTTATAGCCTTTTCAACTTCACTAAGAGTTGGAAAACTTTCATCAGTTTGCCATTCAGGTAGCTTAGGGATAATGAGTAACTGAAGTGTCTGAAGGCCAGCTGAATTGTTCTTTAGAAAGTTCTGCCTACTGGTCCAATCTCTTGAATTGAGAACGGAAAATAGTTCTGTCTTTTGGCAAGACAGTTTCACTATCAGCCTTATGTTTAATACCCGTTTTCTTGATAGGTTTGAACAGTGGTCTACTATTATGTATCGCTGATGCCTTTTTTACCCACCACTGCTCACAATCACTATGTAGGCCTTTTATCAGCCTATGTCCAAGCTTCCTTCGCTTTTCATCTAGTTTAGAGCCAGATGTGATGAATGTCCGAACATCTATCAGTTTTGCAGACGTCGCTGAAATCCGCTGGTTTAAGTTAATAATAAATATCACAGCTGTTTTCACAGCTCTTTGGATATCATGCCAAGCTACCTCAGAGCGAATATCACTTCACGGTTGACGAACACTTTCTTTAGTTGTTCCTGAAATATATTCTTAACTATTTGATAATGAAGTTGAACTCTAAAGCAAAACCGAAGAAAAAGTAACAGCGCGCGCCACATCTTTCTGAGTTCTTATTGTCGCGTTTAGTGGAACAGCGCATATGCGACAAGGAGGCACCAAATACGTATGCGCCACACATCTCATTTGATATGTGTGAGGGCTGTGATACTGCCCGGATGCCCAAACGGAAGCAGGGCACATGCGACTGTCTATTGGAATCAAGTTTAACTGAACCCGTTCTACTTTTGAACCAAATTCTACACCTACACCATTGAGGTCACGAGAAGTAGCAGTTGGGTCTCCAGATACTCAAAAAATGAATCTTTCCGGTTCCTTATATTGACAAGGTGAAGCCAAATGAAATGCCTTACTTGGATCCTGTATACGCATTTTTAATACGCATCATACATCGATGGCGCGAGATCCTACAGTCCAAGCTACAGAAGCCTGTTGTTCTGACACAAGGTTCGAACATTAAAAGCTCCAATATATAGCTTAAAGCGTGGTTTCAGGAGACCAGGAAGAACTCTTTCTTACGGTTATGACCCAGCTATTCCTATTGCTTAGTATTCTTGGACACCAAATCACTCGGCAAGACCCCAAATCAGAACACGGTTGAACAGGAAAGAGATTACATTCCAAATAACCAGGTTAGATGGAAGTAAGATGCAAGTAAGAAGCACAATAGGGAAAACGTTAGTATATTTATAGTTTTTACATGAGAAGATTCTAGAGTATTCTCAAAGTATCGACTAGTGTTGATTGGATAAGAATTAGCCAACCAGCGTGCACCAAAGCAATCGTGCATTGAGCATGCTTTAATCCAGTCTATGTCCTGCTAACAGAACCCAAGTCAATAGCATTGGTGGCTCGTGCTGATTAAGATATACGAGAAAGTGTTGTGACTTTATGTCCGGCTTTTTATCATGTGATTTATCCACCAATCAAAATACAATCTTAGCACTATGCCAAACCAATGACGTTCGACCGGTATGAGCAGCCTAGCGTCCTTATTGGTCCTATGTCCGCTTAGCCCGTCCACTTGAGTCCAGAACACCAATACCAGCTTTCACTATGCGAATCATATATTTCAAACATACTGGGTTTATATATCAAACAAACAGACAGCAACGCACCATAAAATAGGAAATAACATTCGTACACAATAAAGCGAAAAAGTGGCTGTGAACGTGCGTGGTTGTTCGAGGGAACACCTTACCGCTGCCACACCTCTCTACAGTCAGTAGTACGATTCCGACCTCGGGCCTCAAGTTACTGCTTTTAGTTTTATCGTTCTTTAACGGACCTGCCTGGCATGATGAGACCTAAAGCGACACGTGTCCTAGCCAATATAACAGCTGAGTCATCATGATTGGGAAGCATGACCACCACCTCAAAGTAGCAGCTACGGTCCGGTTGCAGCTACATGTATTTCCTGTACACAAACCGTAATTTTACAATTTATTGATAAATCATCAAGCTAAGTTGCTGTTTGATTGCTTTACTAGGACTGAAGTCAAGTCCCTGAGTGATCAATGAAATTAAAACCATGGCATAAAAGTAGTAGATTATGATTGTTTCAACTCTTTTTGTTCGAAGTTGAAATGATCAGTTTTGATACAGGAAATAACTATTAAGTGACATAAAGAACAGATCTACTCCCAAATAAATTCAAAACGAATTATGAATAACTAAAATTATATACGATACCATTAGAAAAACTAAAATCAGTATGAGAAACTCGCAGTTGCAATTAAGTCCATACTACATTTACGTAAATGCCTTGAAATTCGACTCACTTTAACGGACAGCTCACATATCAGAAACCCTAGTCGTTCCTCAAGCAGCTTGAGATCTACATCACCATTATTGACTCGAGGCCATCCAAAAAAGATATCTAATGAACGAGGTAAGAAAATTACCACCATTTAAGAAAAGAGCAGTTTCTGAGAAACAGCAACATAACAATTAATACATACTATGTAGGTAAACATGAGGCTTAAAATTTACTTTCGTTCGTTCCTGATTTAATTTCCCACTACTTGTGATATTTTCGCCTATAATGGCATATCAACTGTTTTCCCTTGATGGAGTGATATGAAGTGTTGCAAACGAATATACTGTTTGAAGTAAAAGCTATACAATATACTGCTTTACCCAAGCTATGTTTCCTTACTCTTTACCTGAATTCTTTGGCCGTTCATATTATTAACCAGTTGTAAACTCAGTTCGCTTATCAAGTATTAATAAAATGAACAGAACACATGTACCAAAGTGATTCAAACGTGACAAAAAACATTGTGGTTTAGAAAACAAACACCCGCTAAATGGACAGTATTTAGGTGTTTTCCAGAGACATTTGTTCATATATATTGTCAAGCAGTTTACTGGTCATCAACACAATTTAGAGAATACAAATACGATTATGTTCATCTATTGTGAAAGTTATGAATGTGGTTAAAAACATGCGATCAAACAACTTTTGGTTAATCTTTCCCAATAAGCGAGATGACAGTTGACACAAAATCAAAAATCTTCAGTCCATACAAGGTAACCACTGTAAATGTTATATATACAAATGTGCATTTATGCAGTGAACGAGAAAAGGCGGAGACAAAAAAATGTGTTTGAATACAAAATCCCTTAGTAAAATCTGAAAACCATACAGTAAATACTTCATCTGCAAAATGTTTAGCAACTGTTTCAGGCTTCATTGTTCCTTTATTTCCATATCAATCACACTCTGTTCTCGTTCTCTTCTCTTCAATCTTCTTAACCTTTTGCCTCCAGACATTACTACTTATATCTGTCGACATCAGTAGCACACACCACACTTACACTACTGTACACTTCCTAAAGCTCAGCATTCCAAAGCTTTAAGCAGGAGATAGTACATACGTGGGGATGTTTGATCTCTAAATTAAGAACTGATATGAGTTTAACCCCCAAATGCTCTGGTACAGTCGAGGGTGACAAGTCAGCTCTCCCTCTGGAAGTGCTCTAACATGTCTACGCTTATAAAGCCAATGCTAAGGAAGTCCTCACTGTCTTCTCGTAGCGAGTGTCGTTTACGAAAAACGATAATAGATAATAGAGATCGAGACTTAGCTAGGCTATAAATTATAGACGACCTTTGAGCGATGTTGAACTGACCATAAGAAAACCCAACTACTCACTAGGGTTAAAGATTGATGTGAGGAGCCAGAGCTTAAGGTTTACGAATTAGAATTAAGGTTTTTATCACAAACTGACCAACTATAATCCCAAAACGTCATTTAGTTATATGGACGGATGAGTTTAACACTAAAATCCAAGGGTCATGATCTTACATCTGACTGGTTCACCTAAAAGTTATATTTCTGCCATATAAAGGTTCACAGAGAGGGAACTGTAGTACAAAGACGCAAACTTACCTAGAATAGAGTAGATGGAAATGCATAAATCAACCAATGATCGAGAGATGGAGAAATTCGGACTTTCAATGAAATCCATAGAAGTTACCACCACTACAGACAAAGCTTTATATAAATCCTCAAAAGAAAAGATGAGCGAAAAAAGTCGTTACTCTATTAAAATGTTTGTAAATATTTCGTGTTCCTTTCAGAAGCCAAGGAGAGATTTTCCATGCATGTACCTCACCTACAACAATGATTTACAAAAGTAGACTTGCCCGTGAATGTTGTGCAGGGCACAACGAACTGTGCGTCTGTATGGATTTCCTGTCGTTGACTTTTATTTACGACATTTAAATCTCGAAAACATATTCTGGCAGCCGCCTCACACTTTTCAACTCTGTTATCATAAAAGAGGTCCGATATACTTAAATCCTGTATACATTCAAAAGGCCTAAGAGTGAAGAACTAACTTCGTAAGCTGCTAGAGACAAGAATGATTTAGGAAGTTGTACAGGGAAAGTCTCCCAAGTGAACAAACATTTATCAACAACCTGACATGGATTATTCATAAGAAACATACCTCTTTTAAAGATTTGATGACTTCCGTGTACTCTCCGTAACAAATTTTGTTATTTTCTTTGATGCCAGAGACAAAAGCCACTCTCTATTTATACGTAGTTTAATAATAACTCAAGTATTTGAACTTACTCCAGGTTCATTAACATTACAGTCACAAGATAAGAGAGAAGACAAATTCCCTTCGAAATTAACGTTGACCTTTTTGGTCATTAAAGAGGCAAACTAGGTATCTAATGTGACCTCAAACACATAACGCCGGTAAGGATTCAAGCCAGTTTCAAGGTCAAATCACTTGCTCAGTAGTTCCAATATCTGATCTCACCATTTCAAGCTAATTTCGATTAAGCGATTTGTTTACGCCTTTGTGTCGTCGTTCAGCCTTAAAACAAGGTTTTTATTTGCATTAAAAGCATTCATTTTGGTCACTAGACTGCTCCAGTCTTAATAAAGTTGACAGATTTGGGCGATCTGTATATCTTAAGTACGAATGAATTAAATTATCTTATAGATCTGAGTTGTCCAATAATTTTGTCGAGGTCCTCAGCCTTTATTTGAGGCACCACACAGGTGATGCTTTGCCTCAAGATCTCACTTTTTGCTTCTATCAGAAATTTTCTTTTCACAGTCAGTGTTTGGCTCGTCCCATGATAACACTCACTATTTTTACAAATTCTTAGCCATCAACACTCATGTTACCAGTGCAGCCGCTATCAACCTCCTTTCTGATCAGAGCTTCAAGACCCACTGCCTCGTGGATGAGTGATGTCTCAATCAAACTGCTAAATATGCAAAGCCAGTGGGTGGTAGGCCTCCATCATTTCCATCTGGTGGGATTTAAACATGTACATATCTTGTAGAACTAATTGTACACCCACCACATGACACGTCTTTCTCCACAGGGAGGAAAGCATTTGGATATCCACATTTATAAATACACCCAACCACTGTATACATATTTGATTGGAGGAATCGAGAAACATACATAAGATAATGATCAACTGAAGTTTGCCACAAGACGGGTTTAAAGAAAAATCCAAACCATCGGGACGCTTCAAGTTTAAGTAGAGTAAGTATGATTTTGATAAAAATCAATTCATGAAAGCAAATTTATTTCACGAGAAGTACGAAATCATGACTTTTTAAAACGCGCCTCGAAAAATGGCTTTAATTATTTCAGGTTCTATATCGACTCATTAACACATTGTATCCAGGTTTACTTGGATTAATACTTCATCGTTTGATTAGTCCTCATTGGATAACTGCGAAAGTCACTCGGACGAGGTTCATAATTCCATTCGATGATTTCGTATTGTATTTATGATGCCTGATAACATTTCGTAGCTTTTTCTCTACAGACTGGCTTTATATCATGTCACTCTTGTCGGGTCGTAATCGAACTCATGTATGTTTATGCCTCGGTAGGCGACATATTATGGAAGGAGCATGGGATGTACACGAGGCCTTAACTAGACACTTCATTGCATTACCTTACTTACTTACGCCTGTTACTCCCAGTGGAGCATAGGCCGCCGACCAGCATTCTCCAACCCACTCTGTCCTGTTCTAGTTCTATCCAATTCTTGTTCATTTTTCTCATGTCTGTCTCCATTTCCCGGCGTACTGTGTTCTTTGGTCTTTCTCTCCTCCTTTGGCCTTGAGGATTACATGTGAGGGCCTGTCTTGTGACGCAATTGGGTGCTTTCCTCAATGTGTGTCCTATCCACTTCCAGCGCTTCTTCCTGGTTTCTTCCTCCGCTAGGATCTGGTTTGTTCTTTCCCATAGTAGTTTGTTGCTGATAGTGTCTGGCCAACGGATCCGAATTATTTTGCGTAGACAGCTGTTAATAAACACTCGTATTTTCTGGATGATGGCTTTCGTTGTTCTCCAAGTTTCCGCCCCATACAGTAGAACTGTCTTGACATTTGTATTGAAAATCCTGACCTTTGTGTTGGTTGACAGTTGTTTTGAGTTCCAGACGTTCCTCAGTTGTAAATATGCTGCTCTTGATTTCCCAACCCGCGCCTTCACATCTGCATCAGATCCACCGTGTTCATCAGTAATGCTGCCCAGATATGTAAAGACTTTTACATCTTCCAAATCTTTCCGTCAAGTGTGATTCGATTGTTGCGTGCTGTGTTGTATCGGAGAACCTTGCTTTTCCCTTTGTGTATATTGAGACCTACTGCTGCTGAGGCTGCTGCTACACTGGTCGTTTTCTCCTGCATTTGTTGTTGTGTTTGGGATAGAAGGGCCAGATCATCTGCGAAGACTAAATCGTCCAACTGCATCCTAGATGTCCATTGTATCCCGTGTTTCCCTTCAGATGTTGATGTCTTCATGATACAGTCAATCACCAGGAGAAAGAGAAAGAGAAAGGTGAGAGTAAGCAACCTTGCCTGACACCGGCCTTTACTTCGAACGACTTTGTCAATTGTCCTCCATGCACGATTTTGCAGTTTAATTCATCATATGAGTTCTGTATGATATTGACTATCTTCTGAGTCACGCCGTAGTGTCGAAGAAGCTTCCATAGTGTTGTTCTGTCCACGCTATCAAATGCCTTTTCACAGTCAATGAAGTTGATTTAGAGTGATGAATTCCATTCAATTGATTGTTCCACAATGATCCGTAGAGTTGCGATTTGGTCTGTACACGATCTATCCTTACGGAATCCTGCCTGTTGGTCTCGAAGTTGGGCGTCTACACAGTCCTTCATTCTGTTTAACAATACCCTGTTGAGGACTTTTCCTGGCATTGAGAGAAGAGTGATGTCCCTGTAGTTATCACAGTTGCTGAGATCGTCTTTCTTTGGTATTTTGATCAGAAGTCCTTCTTTCCAGTCTGTTGGTACTTGTTCCTCATCCCAAATCTTATTGAAGAGAATGTGGAGTATCCTTGCAGTTATCGCTACGTCTGCTTTCAGTGCCTCTGCTGGAATGCTGTCTAGTCCTGCTGCTCTACCACTCTTGATTTGTCTGATGGCCATGCTGATTTCTTCAATTGTTGGTGGGCCAACATCGATTGGGAGGTCCGTGGGTGCTGCTTCGATGTTGGGTGGGTTCAGTGGAGCTGGTCGATTCAAGAGTTCTTTGAAGTGTTCTACCCACCTGTTTTGTTGCTCTTCAATGTTGGTGATTACCTTGCCTTCCTTGCTTTTCACTGGTCGTTCTGGTTTGCGGCGATTTCCAGAGAGTTTCTTTGTCGTGTCATACAGTTGTCTCATGTTTCCTTCTCTTGCAGCCTTTTCCGCCGTCGTTGCTAAATCTTCCACATATTTACGTTTGTCGGTTCTGATGCTCCTCTTCACTTGTTTGTTTACTTCTGTGTATTCAGCTTGTGCCTTGGCTTTTTCTGCTCTTGTTCGACTGGTATTGATTGCTGCCTTCTTGTTCCTCCTTTCTTGAATCTTATCCAGTGTATCAACAGTGATCCATTCCTTGTGATGGTGCTTCTTGTGACCCAGGACCTCATGACATGTTGAAGTGATTGCCTCTTTGATCCCCTTCCAGTTGCTCTCCACAGTAGTTCCTTCTCCATTGAGTAGATCATGAAAGGCCTGGAACTTGTTGCTGAGGACTATCTTGAATTTGTTGAGTTTGTTAGTATCCTGAAGAAAGGCCGTATTGAACTTTTGTGATATTGTCCGCCCCGTTGTCCAGTGCTTCTTGAGTTTCAATTTCATCTTGGCGACCAGCAAGTGATGATCTGATGCTATATCAGCTCCTCTCTTGGTTCTCACGTCTTCCATAGTCCTCCTGAACGTTTTGTTGATGCAAATATGGTCGATTTGGTTTTGCGTGGTGTGATCCGGTGAAGTCCATGTGGTTTTGTGTATGCGTTTATGTGGGAATATGGTGCCGCCTATGACCAGCTTATTGAAGGCACATAGGTTTGCAAATCTCTCACCATTTTCGTTCCTTTCTCCCAGTCCGTGTCGTCCCATGATGTCTTCATATCCAGTGTTGTCCGTTCCAACCTTGGCGTTGAAATCTCCCATCAGAATAGTCAGGTCCTTTTTTGGTCACTTCTCGACGATTGACTGCAGCCTATTGTAGAATTGATCTTTAGCGTCTTCATTGTAGTCGTTGGTAGGCGCATAGCATTGGATGATGTTCATTGAAATGCCCTCTTTCTTTGTTTTGAAGGAGGCTTTGATGATCCTTGGTCCATGAGATTCCCATCCTATAAGCGCATTTTGCGCTTGTTTGGACAGCATCAATGCAACTCCTTGTGTATGTGGGGCATTTTCTTCTTCATGGCCGGAGTATAACAGGAGCTCTCCTGAAGTTAGTCGTTGTTGTCCAACTTGTGTCCAATGTGTTTCACTGATCCCAAGTACCTCTAGGTTGTATCTTCTCATTTCTGCAGCAATTTGGAAGGCTCTCCGGTGTCCCACATTGTACGAACATTCCATGTACCTAAATAAATGGTTGCTCTGGTTGTCAGAAGGGGCATCGGCCTCGTAACTTCCGAAGGAATTCGGCTTTCATCATGAGGCGTCATAGTTCTTCTAAACG